ATGACTTGGGGAAGCAACCATTTTCTAATAGATTGCATAGTTAGGACTTAAAGCAGATTGGAAGTGAAAATTATGCTAAAATCATTGGGGAATGTAAATCCTTGTTTAATTGACGCTGCAGGAGCTGCCAGAAATAATGAATATGGCTATATTTAACTGCTCTGGCAGCGTTTCCCTTTCAGATGCGGCTCAGTTTTGCCAAAGCCCGCTCGATCTCGGGCAGCTCTGTGTTTGCAGCACTGCTGGGAAGCAGCGGAGCTGTGCCAGGCGAGCTGAGCCGCCTGCCTTTGGAAGCGCTGCGCCCACCGCCCTGCCTGGGCACCAGGCACCCAGAGAGAGGTAAATCCTCTGCCATCAGGGGCACGCTCGTTCTGGAAACAGTGCTCGGGCAGCCTGAAAACTGGTGAGACCAGCTTACACCAAACAATCAGGTTTTCCGTTTGCTTTTGTGTTTTGGCGTGTGAGTTCTCTGCGGGTTCACATGCTCAGCTCAGGACGAAGCTGTGCTACCCCTGCCTCCTGTGTGAGGTAGCTCGCTTTTGTGAAATGCAAGCAGGCGAATGACCTTTTCAGATGAGACCGAAGGGCCGTCTAGCTCAATTTCCTGTCTCTTGCAATTGCTCGAGGGAAAGAGCACAAGAAACGAGTATAAACTTGTTATCTGCTCATTTCATTTTAACACTCTCCTCCCATTTCTTTCCCTGTGAGAACTTAGGGTGCCCAGAGTAATGCTGTTGTATTAAGAAATTAGAAACAAATTACTGAAATTGAAATAGAACCCGGGCAATCTAACCCCATGCCTTCTGCTGTAATAACTGGGTGAAAAGAGCTGCCCATGCCCAAATCTGCCCAGGATGCTGTGTTCAGCTCTAGAGGTGCAATTAGTGCATTCCTAAGTCTGAAGGTAAATCTAACTTCCAGTGGGACACATTAGAAATGCCAGCCCAGGTGGCTCATCCACAGCTTCATTACGACAGTCCTGGCGAGGTCTCAGCTCGAGCAGCAGATCCGAGATGACCGCGCTGTCAGTCACGGCAGCAAGACCCAGCCTAGCGATGAGATCACCGACTGGTTTTGTTTTCTGCAACAGGAAAACATGACTCCAGAGCTCATCCCTGTTAGCTGGCGCTGCCAGCCCTGTCCCAAGTACAACCTCAGCTTCTCCTTTCCTTACCGTGTAATTAAAGGGAAAGAAAAAGAGCACAAGAGTGACCCATAAAAGCCCGTGTAAGTGGCAGTTGACAAATAATTGCATTCACATTAATTACCAAGGTGTTTGCTGGCAGGAGAAAAAGCAGGGCGTTTTTGTTATTGTTGTAGCACCAGAAATAGTACTATAGTATTTAGATTATGCATGCAAATGCAATTCAAGGTACAGTGAAGAAAATAAGTACTCTTCGCCAAGACTGTCCTGCATGAGGCAAGAGAATTTATATTGTGATCTGCGATGGGAGAAGAAGCTGCAGCCATAAAGCTAGCTGTCTAAGCACCCACAGCAAGAGCTTTAAGATATTTGGGGACTGTTTGAGAAATGTTCTAAAATCCAGAACAAACTACCTCGCTCAGAGAGAAAATTTGTTTTTGTGGTTAAGACGAAACTGGAAATTCAAGACACATTTTAATTTCTAGTCTGCATGACATTGGAGTAATTTGATTCTGTGTCCCAGTTCCTCACCTACAAAATAAGGCTGAAAATACTGCTTATTTTTTAAGACACTGCCTTTTAGATTACCAGATCACAGAGCAGCTATTACATCTTACTCTGTATCATGTTCAGCATTCAGAATAAAGATGCAATAATCTCAAGTGGGCAGCCTATATTAAAAACTTACATTTGTATGGTAAGATTTTAATTTTAACCTAATTCTGTCTTCTCACGCATCATTTCAGCTGTATTGACCTAAAGGAAAAGCAATAATAGCAAAAGACCTCTGTTTCACATACTGTAATAACCCTTGGAAGAAAAACTCACCAAAATTACAAGCTGTGAAAGCGAAAGAGAGCAGGAGCTCAAGTGTGATTGCAAAACTTGCACTGACACCAGCACCAGCTTCAACTCCCCGCCTGCAGAGCTGAGCCCTTTGCTTTCGGCAGCTCAGTGAGCAGTTCCCACTGCTGTTCCTTCTCCCCATGCAGCACCTTGCTCTTGCACCCCTTCCCTCAGACCCCCACCGCCTTGTGCACCAAAACCCTGCAGCACTGTGTCGGGAGCCGACAGACAAGGGAGGGAATGCACAGGGTCTGCAGGGAAGGGGAGCAGCTGCCTGACCCCCAGCTGAAGCACTGCTCTGCTGCCTGCCTCCCGTGGGGAGTAGAGATGCTCACGGGCCTTATCCTGCTCCATCCCACACCATCCTTCGATGCAGGCGTACCTCCCAGGAGAAGGGTGTCTGACCCCTTTGGAAGTGCTGCTCTGAACCCGATGTCCTCATGACAGCCACCGGTGGCTGTCCCAGCTCCAGCAGTGCCGCGTCCCTCGCCCGGCTGAGCCAGGAGGCAGCGGCTGCCTGCGGACACCAGCAGCTGGTTCCCCTCCCTAATTTCTACATTGCGTGAGATGCGATGCCTACCACGGCCCACGGCCACGGCCCATCCCTCCAGGCTGGCTTTCTGCAGCTCTCTCCCTGTCAGGAATGCCCAGCTCCTCTACAGCAGGTTGTGCTGGCCTGGCTAGCCTTGGCTCTGATGAGGTGGCCAATGGCAACCTATGCCATAGGATGGCCAGGGGCCTCTCTTCGCCCTGAAGCAGTCTCTGCTTCAGCCAGGGTTGAGTTGGAGTGGGCTGCTTGAAGGGCAGGCAATGGCTCCTGTTCCCACTCACGGTAATAGAAGGGCAGAAAATGTCTCCAAATTGATTTCAGTAGCTGACTACTGAAGTACCCTGTCATCTCCATCTGTTAAATTCCCCACCAGCGTCTTCTAAAGACAGCCCTGCTTCCACTTGTGCCTTAACTTGTCCGTTCAGAGCCCCAGACTGGATCTCAAACCCAGATTTCATATGTATGCAAAATATGCTAATCAGTTCATTAAAAAGAGAAACCACGGAGGCCAGGAAGGCTAGCAACGCACGCTACGTGATAATTCAGACAAACACTGCCTGCCTGTGATGATAAAGGACAATTGCATGGCAAAGGCAAACACATCCCAAATAGGCTGCGGTGCAATCTGTCTCCGTACAGACCCATGAGTCATGCTGATTTGGAAAATACTTTATAAATGCTAGTAATGGCAGGCAATCATTTTAATTAGATATGGCCTAATTAAAAAAGAATAGAGGCTTTTATAGTTCATACCTCCCCAGTGTGCACTAGGGATCCCCACTGTTTGGCAAACAGGAAAAATGTTTGTATTATTTAATAAGCATAATGCTATCAGCAGAGCTTTAATGTAGGATTTAATGCATACGCTCTGGCTCACCCCACAAAATGTCGATTGGTCAGCATGCAGGCTGGCTGCAAGAAGGTTACAGGAGATCCACCTCTCTAAATGAGACCTCAAATGTCTCGAAATGATGATGGACGCCTGAGGAACGGGCTAAACCCCTCTGGGTGTTCACTAGGCCATGTGTGGGAGGCGGGTAGATTCATTCAGATACTGTAAAACTAGCCTAAAGCTTCAAAGCAACACTTCTGGTTGGGTGCCCTCTCTGCAGGCTTCAAATAATGGGGAGAGAGGAGAAGTGATGTCAGTGCTCACCCTGTGCCTGCCCCCTGCCACATCCTACTCCCTGCAGCCCTTCCCTGTGGCACCAGCAGTGCCCAGGATGCTGCCAGCCCGCGTGGCTGCCAGCCCTCACCCACCACTGCCACGCTGGGGGCTGCCACAGGCAGCAAACGCCAGCACGCCACAGCTGGGCCATCAGCAGCACAGATCCCTTTCTCATTTTCATGTTGTTGTGTAATGCTCTGGCTCTGCTGCGAGGGGAAGCAAAAATACCACAAGAAAAAGCACTTCCTGTACTATTTGTGATCTAAGCAAATCCAGGAAATAATGGAAATTACAGTGATGCACAGGTTATCAAGTTTCTCGAGCTTATTTTGCATTTCTGTTATTTCCTGTGCTTTTCATGTGAATATTTGAAGTCATAAAGAAGTAATCACAATACATGATCACAATAGCATTAAAGATGTAAAAGTTTCTCCTCTCCCTGCACATATTAAAAAAACTAGCTCTGGGAGCAAGAGCCTTTTGTGAGCAATTACCAGGCATTGTGCTTGACACATCACCCCAGCTCAGCCTGCAACCTCTTGGCCCCAGCGATGCTAGGGACTGATCTAAGCATAACCCCTATTCCTGCTCAGGGGGTCCCTGTGACCTCGTCTCACAAAACAGCCAGGTGGTCTGCAGCATCTCCGCAAGAACCTGCTGCTTAAGAACAACCAAAATACCCCCAAGGACACAAAATATCCCTGCAGGCCTCCAGCACCCAGCTCTGCCTCCACAGCGGCTCACCTGGTACCTGCAGCAGAGGAGAGGGGCCTTAAGGAAAAAGGATGAGCTCGGTGCCAGGATGAAGGGGAAGTCAACTGCTGTGTTCATAGCCAGGGCTGCCCAACTCAGTGCTCCTGCTGAGAATGAGTGCTGCTTCCAGTGGTCCTGCATTGATCTGCCTCACTCAAGGTCACGTTAGGAGATAATTTACATTATAAAAATCAAGGTTTTAAAAAGTCATTGCTGAGAGTGACACTTCATTTCTAAATTCAGAGTGCAGCTGGGCACATATCTGCATACGGAGACCCAATTGTCACTAGAGATAGCAGGGGATCTCCTGCCCACTCCATAACTTCACTCTGGAAATATGCCCTGTAAAATTTCTGTCACTATCTCACTATCATAACTCCAAAGGACTCAAAACCAAATGACTGTGCTTTCTTATCATTTTTGGCTTATTGCAACCAAGTTGTTAGAAGTGAATCCTTTGCCCTGAAGAGGAAAAAAGGGTTTTGCAATGGAGTTCTTTCCAAGTGTGTCGCCCACATTTTGTCATTTCCTTCCTTCAGTGAAGCACACACATTCACCTACTTTTTAATAACAGAACATCAGATGATACTTAGTCATCTGTTGCTCAAGGCTCTGCACAGATGTCGTACAATGCGCACAGCAGCGCATCAGCATAATGCCAGGAACACCGCCCCGCCATTGAAGTCTCTTCATGTCCTTTTGCTAATGGGCAGGTAGATCCCATGGGCACATCAGTGTTCCACCTCACTCCCTGCCAAGGTCCCAGTCATCTTTTAACACTCCTTTTCAAGCTCTGACGGTGCTCTCTGTGATGTGCCGGGACCCTTTTTAAACCAGCACCCCACAGGTGAAGGCCCCACAGGACGCCGATGTCGTGGGGCAGGCAAAGCTGAAGGGTCCCGGCTCGCTCCTGGGCTGGCCGCGGCTGCCTGTGACAGACAGGGCAGCTTCCAAGGAGGGTGCAGGTGGTGGGATGGCTGGTGAAGGGGTTTGGACGTGGATTTTTCTTCTCACTTAGTGGAGCAGTGTGGAGAACTGCCTGAGGGGCCTGGGAAGAAGAGTGAGAGGAGAGCCGTGAGTGGGAGCACAGAGGCAGGAGCTGATTTCTCTTCAAACACAATACTCAGCGTTCCCCAGGGCACGGATTAATGTGCAAGGATTTTTCTCAGATGCTGTTTTCTTCAGATTTTTCTTCAGACACTCAGAACACATCCCCTCAGGATTGGGCAGGGCCTGTGAGGCCGGGGCTGGGCAGCTGAACCCCGCAGCCCGCCTCAGGAGGCCTCCTGCTTGCGACCACCATAACCTGAGTACCCAAGCTGCACATCCCTCCAGTGGAGCCACACTCAAGCTAACTAAAGCTGAGCTTGCTCTTTTACACAGGCCTCCACCACCTCCCTCCCAGGCTTCACCTGCCTCTGGTCTGTCTTAAATGGCCACAGGCTGCCCGCCCCTGCCCTCCTTTCCCTCTCAAGCCGCCGATTTCTCCAGGGTTCCAGGGGTCTCCCCCTGGTGCAGCCTGCCACATGGGGGCTGCCCAGCCCCTCAGCCCCGACATGGTGCCATCAAAGCAAGAATCGTCCTAAAAAAATGCTGGATTGTTAAACTATTTAAAAAGTCTGTACATCTCAAAAAGTTGCTTAAATAATACATAAGTCTGGAATAGACAGTGTTTTTTTTCTGAAATCTGCACCAACGTACATACTTAGGAATATAGAAATGTATTTACACACCCTTTATATTCGTTTGTCCTCCTTTTGGTGTACCATGGCTCACTGTCAGGATCCTGTCAGCACTGTGAAGCGCTGACTGCACGCGATGGCTGCTGGCTACGGCCACGCTGTTACAGAGCGCACGTGTCAAGTGCTGCACATTTCCTAACGTCAGCACCATTTGCCTAACACATGACAGGCAAATGGATGGATTTAGGCTTTCCTGCTGATCTTTTTTTTTTTTTTCCAGAGAATGGAGATGTCTATTCCTGAATCTATTAAGAGAAATACAGACAAAGCATTAAGGTCACCGATTAAAAACAAAGGTGTTACTGCAAACCTACCCATGGATTATATAAGGTCCTTACAACCTGCCTTTGCCAGGAAGCATCATTTAGATACTGCCACCACAGCTGGGCCTGAAGCAAAAATCCATTAAAGTTTCTTAACCTGGGCTACTTAGCCGTCTTGAACCAGGCTAAGTATGACTGTGCCTTGCATTAAAACCAGTGAGATGACTTATGTGCGTAGCCGTGGAAGGAAGTGTGGCAGGTTTTGAATCCCAGCGTTCGTGAGAATAAACAGACAAACATGTTCCCGCTCCCTATTTGTTATCACAGGGCGTTTTGCAACCCCTTGCTAGAATTATTCACTGTATTTGGAGCTTCCTCATCACAGAAGTCTCTTTTGGCTCGGAAGGATCTTCAGCTTTGAATTTCACATTAACCAGTCCCAATGGACCAAAGATTTGTGACAGTAGTTTTCTGGAGCCATGAAGTGTCTGGAGACTCTCATCTTGTATTTTTTTGCCATTTCTGAGCAGGTTAATACAGCAGTACCATCAGGTTCTTCTGTCTGCATGACTGGATTAATGTGAATCTAGTTACATGCTTCAGACAAGTCTTTTTTTCTCATTTGTTTGCCTTACAGCCCCATGCTGTTCATTTTCTGTCCTTATCTGTATGACAGTGCTCTATAAATTTATGTTAGAGTTACCATAAAACTAACCTGCTGTTTTGTATTCTTCTTTGCACATTTAACTGCTTCTTAAAAAAAAAAAAAAAAAAGGCACACATCAGGCCCAATTTGCCCCTAACCAAACAAGGGCAATGTTTAAGCTTATAAATTATCCTGTTTTTAAATGGGTAAAATTAGAGGAGAAATAGCGTATTATGTGGAGGGACAGAGGGAAGAATGAGATACATGCAGGTATTGAAATAAAATTGCGGGAGAGCACTTCATGTTTGAAGTTACCACTTCTTTTCTTGTCATATGTTCTACAGAGGTCTGTTGTATTTTAGGTTAGACTGGATTATTTCATGTGAACATATTTTTATTCATCCTGCTGCTCAGAAAAATGGTTCCTGATGCCAAATTCAAAACTGAATTTATGAGTGCTGCCAATCGGAGCAAGGGCTGAGCATGGGTAGAAGGATATAATGTTATGGAAACAATGGAACAACTCAGATAAAGCTGTCAGCAATGCTAGGAAAAGAAAACAGCTCTTCCATACAAATTCCATAAAAAGTCTTTCAGCTGGGAGAGAATTATTCACAGGGGCAGATATATGTCTCTGTGCTGAACTGCTGCACCTGTCCAAGGGTTTCTGTGTATTGTCTGTTCCTAACAGTGTTGTAAAGCCTTTCCTTCAGAAGGATTTTTTCTTTCCATGGTCTGAAATGCTGGAGATTTGTTAATGCAACAGAAGGAAGGAGCTTAACCAATGTTTAATAGGGCCAGATGGGACAAGGAAGGAATTTTCCCAGTCCTGTAGGTTTCACAGAGATATTAATATTGCTAAGATTCTTGCTTTGTAATTCATCAAAAAAGATAAAATTCTAACAAGAGCTCTGTTGGTTTGGGGAAAAAAAAAAATATATATATCATTTTGCTGCAGGAGCACAGGCTCACTGAATCTGTCCCCTGAAGAGTAGCTCAGTGTGCCATGACATGTGGCTGCCAGATATGACCCAGTAACCGAGTAGGTACAATTATGTAAAATGTACCATAGTTCTACAAAAAAAAATGGGGGAGGAAGAGCAATTGAGTTAATAAATAGCTAAGTTCCCCAGAAGATGTACTATTGAAACATGGCTGCGGCTTTTAGGAGGGCCTGAGAGAGGACTTCTGAAAAAGGAACCAGCCAGTTCCTCTGTGATAAAAATCCTTTTGTCTGAAGTAAATGGACAAGAAATCACACTGATAGAAAGGGAAAATAGGTCAGTTTTATCACAGCTATTTTATGCAGCTACTTTCAATGATAAACAGCATTCCTGGTGAAGCAATCTAATTCCTGTATGGTATATTATATATTCATATTCATTCATTTACTTCCTAAGATGAAAGAAGACCTGGGTGACTGCACTGGGTTTGATATAAAACTAATTAATGCATAACACTCCAGTGTTGAATTTAGCAATGGTTTAACCACATGACATTCATAACTGTTAAATGATTACGCCTAAGCATGTAACTAATAGTGTTCTTTCCAGAGAAGCCCAAGAAAGCTTGGCATCAAAAATTTAAATGTACGAACCCATGGGATAAATGAAGACAGGGAGGGAAAAGGATTCAAAATGTGTATTTTTATACTTTTGAAGTTTCTCACTTATATCTCTGTCCGCTGCTCAGGAGGCCCACACGTAAAGGCTGGCAAGGAGCTGGGATGGCTGTGGACAGCAAAAGCTTTATCCAGGGTGAGCACAGCTTCCCTTCCTTCTTAGCAGCTGGCTCGGGGGAACTAAACTTAGCAGGCCTGAGGTGTAGGAAACCAGATAGCACACTGGGTAGCTGGATAGGAAATACAGGGCTCAATGTGTTTGAGGTTAAGATTAAGCCCTAACTTCCTTTGGGTCTATTTTAAACGGTGGCAAATGATGGCATGCTTTCTTACAACAAAATGACAGATGATCAAAGGTCGAATATGATCTCTATGTCAAGCATTTGCACAGGGACCTTTCTTTGAGGGACTGGGCAGGAAGTATTTTAACATGGTGTCTCATACTTCCCCTCATCTGTGTTTGTTCAAAACATACCAGTAACCGGGTAAAGCTGGAGAGCTGGCAGAGAGCACTTGGCCAAACAGCATCTGCCTGTGGCAGGAGAAGCAGTTGATTTTGGACGGAGTGAAAAAAAGATTACCACAACCTCAGCCATTGCAACTGTGAGGAAAACAAGGCAGCATTCGTCACGCTCACATTTTCAGATGCTACACCTGGGAAACAGAGACAGAAATGTGTCAAAAGCATGCTTACACATTCCCTGTTCTGGAGGTAGTCAGAAATCAAAGCAGAAAAAGAAAAAAAAAAAAAAAAAGAAAAAAAAAAAAAAAAAGAGGAAACTGCAGCAGGTACTGAAATGAAACTTTCCAACTTTAACCAGTTTTTCTGCCTGGCAGTGGCAAACAGGATGCAGGACTCACTGGGTCATATTGAGTACAACTTGCACACTTGCTAAAATTGCTATTATTATGAATTACCAAGGTTTGTACTGAGGGGCACGGAGGGGGACATTATGTTAATACAAGGCAGACACGCAACAAGAAGACGATCTTTGCCCCGGGATGCCATACCATGCCTAAACACTGCAGCCATGTCCTCTGCCATAAGGCTCACTTCCTTCCCCTGCATTTTTTTGTACCTCTCCTCCCCTTACCTAGAAATCTGCAGGACAAAAACCTGCGTTTGAAAACTCCTTTTAACCCAGTCTTTGGCCTTACCTCTGGCACAACTGCAGCAGCTCACAGCTCTGCAGTACCGGTCTCTGACCTGGCATTCCCCAGGCACCTGCGCAGCTGCCCCTGCCAAGTATTTGTTCTGCTTCACTAGAGCACGGGAACATCTTGCTAAGGCAGATAACTGGGATCACTTCACTCCTCTGAAAATCCACACAAAAAAAATAGCTATAGTAAGTGTTTCATTAAGCTGAAAAAAAACAACAATCTATTCAACCTAGAATTTTTGACACCACCTACTTTGATGAGAAGTGATGTAATTTATAAGTGCAGCTGTGCACTTGTATGAAGCAGCATAAAGCCTGCTTCCACTGTGAGTTGACACTGGCTTCACAAAGCAGGCAGAAATTTAAAGCAGAGAACACTGAATATGTATTTGAACCAGAAAAGCATTTCCTGATGTTGAGTGAGCTGGAGATCAGGATAATTTTTTTTTTAAGCCATTGTATTTGCTCTACACCAGGTCCTTCTGCTTCTAGCAGCACAGACCACTTCACTTTCTATCAGGATGCCAGCAGGTGCTGTGGGACTGCTGGTTGGAAGCACAATTTTAAAATGTGCACTGCAGTCCAAACAGAGGCAAACATCCTCGTAAACTCCTCTTGGTTGCAGAGAAACACAGGTGCAATTTCCAGGTGAGCTTTCTAGGCTCTGCGAGCTTTCCAAGTGTTTCTACGAGCAATGTTAGCCTGTAGCCCTCTCGGAGCATGAGTGAGTCTCTCTGCAGAACGCGGTTGGTGTGCCACGATGCAGAGGAAGTTAAACATGCTGCACCCATCTCCCCCTCGCCCAGCGCCCGGACGGTGTCACCACGCTGCCACAACACAGGCAGGGGGAAGGAGCCTACAGCATGCGTGACATGACAGCCACCAGAGAGAGACAGCTTGGTTGGTACAAGGAAAACATAGATTTTTTCACTGCTCTGAGGAAAAAAAAAAAGCTCATCAGTGGCACAGCTGTTAGGGGAAAAGATGGGAACAACCATACACAGATAGGTAAGAAATGAGAACTTAGAAATGGACTAAAGGCTGAGATGCACAAAGCAAAGTTGGGGCGTTAGTGGCTGAAGTACCAAAAAGCTGGGATTGATGCAGATATCTAAAAGTGTTCTTATGTGATGCAAAGTATCCTCACTGTCAGAAAAGCAGAGAAAATAAATAAATAAATAAATAAATAAATAATAAAATAAAATAAAATAAAATAAAATAAAATAAAATAAAATAAAAAGTGTCATTTTGAGTTAAAGCAAAAATGTTGTTCTGAAAGGCAAGATTCAGATTTTGTAAAAAAAAAATAAATAAAATTCATGTGTTGTTTTATCAGATTAGGTCACTTTTAAAAGCAAAACATGATTTTGGTAAATAATATTTGGTTGTTTTCATTTGAACTTTGAGTGTTTTTGAAATTCAACACACTGTTTAGAAAACATTAAAACATTTTCCAAATGTCCTAATTCCTCTTGTCTCTGCCTGAAAGCTTTTGCTAAATCCGCGTTAAAATCATTTGTAGTTCCAATCTCTGTCGCCTGTTTTCTGGCAGATCACCCAGCTCTAATGGGCAATTAACAAGTGCGAAATAGGGAAAATATCTCAACAAAACATTGAGCTCAGTTCTCAAACATCCTTCTCACATACGTCACAATGTGAAGCACGAGCAATTCGGGTAAAGGCAGACTGGCAGGTGACCAGAGTAAGATGACACAGGAGGAAATGAGAATCCTGTACATGGGGTGCACCTCCTCATCCCACAGCTTGACGTCTTCCTACATCGTGGCAGCTATTAACCTTTCGGCACGTACTACAAGCCAGGATGAGCAACGAGGCCACAGGGAATAAATAAAAGACAGAAATGTCTCTGCCATCAGACTGAGCACCTCGGCAGGACACACGGACCGATCCTCTCAGCTGTGGAGGAGCCCCAGAGATGTGACCACGTCTCAGAAACAAGTTGATCGAGATCAAATGTTGTCACACTGAAAGGTTTGAAGGTCGTCAGAGCCAAATGCCTTACTCATTGTACCCCTTTCAGACTGACTGCCAGCAAGGAAGATCCTCCCCCAGCAGGATGTCCCTGTCCAGACAGGTGGCAGACAGCAGCCACCGCTGGCTCTTCACCACCTCAGACGTGTGCGGCGTAGGGGGCACGGAGAAGAAGACCTCTGGTTAGGAAGGTGTGCGGCCACCATGGCTCCCACAGCTTCCCAAATCCTCCTTGTGGGTTGTAAGAGTGGCAGAAATGTCCCAGAATAAGACTTAGCACTTTCCGGTACTCCTGCGTTGATTCGGCATTGAGTGAAACAGCGATGTAAACAATTAACGTGATCCTCTAAATGCAGTGGCCAGGAGCCATATGTGCTTAAACAGGCCTGAGGGGAAGGCTTGGGATTTCCTTCTGACAGTGCCATCCTGAAGATAGGCCTGGCATGGATTTTCGGGGCAGTTGTGGCCTCCCTCCTGACAGCGCCCCTGTGCCTTGTGTGCCGGGAGGGGAAGGCCTTCAGCACCGCAGCTAAAACCACCAACACAACGAACAAACAAACTTTATTTCTGAAAAGCTGCTAAAGTGATTGGAAAGGCTCCAGAGGATAAATGTGAAGGCTTTGATTCCCACTGAGTCAGTGTGGCTGGAAGGATGAGCATAAGCAGGGAAGCACAGGACTTCTCTTGCCAACTCTGCCACTAAATCCATGCAAATCGCTTAATCTTCCTATTTGGTTCCTCCTTTACTAAAATGGGAATGTTAGTGTTTACTTACCTTCCAACTCACAGACATGTTGTGAGGATTAATTAGCTAATAACTGCTAAGTGCTTTGAAGATAGCGTTTTGCACAGGCACTTGTAAGTATTATTAACTAACGTTAGGCTAATGATGCAGACAGAAGTGGCAATTTCCATCAGCTGTATCAAAGCGGAGCCCAGAATTCAGCCCTGAGATGTGTGCTAGCTACTGAAAAATTAACACCGTTATGAGAAAGATAAAAGAATAAATTAAATTAATTTCCACTGGTCCATTGGAACACAGAAAAAAATGCGCAGCTGCACTGTTCCTGAGCAAGCAAAACCACAGCTCTATTAATAACTTAGGACCCTATTCTGAAAGCTGTTGCTTTGCACCTTCATCAGTCATTTCCACCGATGTGCGAAGTGTTATGGTTGTGAGTCGGTGGCAATTTCCCCTCCTACAAATCGCTCTGCACCTGTGAGACTGATGGCATGCCATTTAAGGCAAGCACGAAGCAGGCGCAGCGTGCACACATTGCATACTCACATTTTTAAAGCACTTGCTTGGTGTTCTTTAACTTCTGTGAAGCTGGCTGTGAAATCCAGACCACTGCGATGCATCTGTGCGAGCAGGTGGTTTTACAGCCAGGTAGCTCTCCTGATACAAAGGAAGGTGAGATACAGGTGGGCAGCGGGAGGCTTGTGATGGCTGGCTGCACTGGAACGACACACACCTCTGATCTGCTACGATTCTGGCAAAGATAGAAGGCAAAGACATCGCCTGGAAAGTTGAGACAGAAACTAAAATAACTTCAGAAGATGCTTCCTTGGAGCAGCTGTCTGCATAGCTCTGCTGAGGAAGCCAGGTGCAGCCTCCAAGAGCCATCAGCAGCTTACGCCTCTGGACCTAAATCACCTGTTGCATGTTAGAAAAGACTTCCCCAATTTTGATTGCATTTAATTCTTTTACTGATACTTGGAAACACGTACATAACAATATACATCTTTATCTTGTAATTTGTACAATGCCAGGTGCACAATGCAACGTTGTCCCAACTCTCTTTTCACTTCTGTGCCGGGGTTGGCAAACCTGGTTTTGGTTCTTTCTTCACTACTTTAACGGTGGCAGAGGGTGGTAAATTCAAAACGGTTTTAGGAGGAAAAGAAGATGATTCTCTATAGGCTTCTATTTCAGTAATCCTTCACACAACCACTGTGGTCCTGGCCAAAAAATTGAATTTCTCTCTATCATCTCATAAGAGTGTTGTGCAAAAATAAAGATTAAAGTAGGTCTTATGGGACAGAGAAATACAGGAGTGGAAAAAGCTGAGCAAAGAGAAGGATTCCTGTTCACTCCAAAAATCTGCCTTTTTTTTTTTTTCTTTTTGATTGATGTATAAACACCTGAGGCCCCAGTGCTGTGAGTGTCAGGCAAAGATGACCCGAGGCACCCCGGGCTCCTGTGCCAGCAGAGGCAGACTGTGGGGCAGGCAGATGGATGAAGAAGGAAAGCATCAACTCTGCTGCAGCCCAGCTGGGAGGAAGGAGGCAGCAGTTCCTCTGCTCTCACTTCCAGATCACAAAACTCGGTGGCACGATGTGATTCTCAGAGGCACTGTTTTGTCCCTAGCAAAAGGAGTCTCACTTCTCCCATCGCCGCATGAAGTTATTGTTGTAAATGTACATACGGTAAATACCTTCAACAACTACATCGCAACACAGGAAATGAGAGATTGGCTTTCATGCTGCACTCTAAGGCTTAGAACTGTGGCTACTGCTAAGGATGCTTGGCCTTCTCACAGTCCTCTGATTATCAAGTGCTGTTTTCAGATACTTACAACGGGACCAAACGTTAATTATTTGAACTTAATTTCTGTGTAACTGAACGCTGGCTTTAGGCTGGTCTATTTATCCAGACATTGTTCTTTTTTGTTTTTCTTCTTGTCTTCTAAAATAGAATGAAAAGAATTATTTTTCATATTAAAAATATATCAATTGTGGTATATTTCTTCTTGAATTGTACTTACCGGACTCTCATTAGCTCAAGACTTTGTTTGCGAATACCCACGCAAATTATAAATACATGTGCAATTTGCATATTGCACTAGGAAGGACAGAAAACTAAGTGTACAGAAAAAAGCCAACTACTTACTCCCAAGAGTAAAAAATATCCTGTCCCATGGACGCGTTGTTGCTTAATCGCTTTTCATATGGGTTTTATTGTTGCTGCTGAAATTACTGGCTATTTTTGGACACATGGTGTTGGGCTAGAAATACTATAAATCTGAGATGCTAATGTACTTTCCACTGTGCAGGATTCCTACCAATCAAACCCATCGCCCACAGTTGCTTTTATCTCAAGCCAAGACTAGCAAGGGCAAAACATGGTCTTTTATTGACTTTAGAGCTTAGTCCATTAAATTTCCTGCCTCCAAAGCCAATCACAGGCTGATGGCACCATCCTGGATTTTATTTTGCAGTATGATGAGCCCAGCTTCCATACACGAGCAGCACAGCGGGGGCTGGGAGCCTTCTCCAAGGCGAAGCTGCACATTACTCACCGGCTGCCTGACAACAGGGGTAATTGCTTTTCATTTTTTAAACATATGGTGACAGGCAGACTTAGCTGGTGCAGAAGCCTCTGCAGAGCCTCTGGGGAAGAAGAGGAAAAACACTTCATGCTCCTTGCCAAGATGTTTTAGATGCAAAGTGGGGCATCGGCAAACCCGAACACAGTGACTAAAACCCTCACAAGCCAGCCGTGCAAACCGGGACAACGAGCCGCCAGTGACAGAGCTTTCAACAACCAACAGAGAAGAAAGCAAATGCACTCGGTTGCTAATGGTATCTCTTCTTATTATGCACGAACCAGAGATCTTATTGCTTAAAGGATGGAAACTCTAGGTTCTTCTCAGCACAACTTCCAGTGCTTCAAACCCCGAGTTACTGAAGCCTCTTCGAGGTTTTGCAGGAAAGGAACATGCTCAGCTTACTCTGTTGTTCACACAGAGCACAAGTGAGTCAACCCAGCACACTTAAATTATGTTGATCAGATCTGGCACAACTTCATGCAGTTCAAAAGAAGCTGCCGCAGCGTCCATAAATCTGTAATAGTTCACTTCACAGTGTCCCGGGCTCAAAGATGCTGCGGACACAGACAACACATACATCTCATAACTCTTACGGGCATTATAACTGCTCCCCAAGAAGACAAACACCACAATTCCTGTTTGTGTTGCTCATGTTCTAAAGAAAGATAGTCTCACTCTGGGGGCAAAGACATTTTTCAATTTTCTTGCAGAGTTGATTTCAAATGTGAAAGTTAACTTGAAACACCTGATGGGCACAGCTCAGAACACACTGTCTTTTCCCAGGGGAAAAACAGCAGTTGCAGCATCCACCCTGGGTAAGATCCAAAGTAGCATCAAAGCCTCGCTGTATCTAGGGCAGTGGAAAAACATCCAGGCAGGATTCAAGCCACCAGACAAAGAATTAGCACTGCAGACTGCCAAGAGCACGAGAGGAGGCTGATGGCAGGATCCCCGCTGGCCGCCGTAGCCCACATCCTCAGCAAGAGCAGAAACACCTCCCGACCCCAACCTGCCCTGCAGCCTCCGCTGGGTAAGGTGTCGGTGGCACCATTTACGGCTCGCTCATGACCGCTCGGCAGGGTGATGTGTGTGCTCTGTGGCTTTGGGGTTTTCTGAGGCAAGGCTCTTTAAAGGCCAGATCTCAAAGTGAGACGAGAAGGACTGATCCTGCCTGCCCAATCCTCTAAAGAGTTTGTCGTGGAGTGACTAAGCACCACTCGAGTCCTAGATTCTGTAACTGAAGAACGGAGAGGGCAGTGAGGGACGGGGATGCTGATACACCTAATGAATTAAAGACTAAGAACCGTAGTGCTGTTGTTGCCCCATGTAGTAGCCTATCTTGAACCTAATTACTGTGCTGTGTTAAGAGCATGTGATTGGGAAGAATGCAGGCTAAAAAACAATAGGACAGTTCTTAAAGTTTAGTCAGGATTAGTCAAGAAATCCTCACCAAATTCATTTTCTCTCTACGGGCAAAAGAAACAGGTTTATAACAAATCAGTTCAGTCGTAGCAGCTAAGCATCGGAAAACATGGGATAGAAGTGGATCTGCAGTGCTACAGTGGTAGCTGTCTACAGCAGCAGCACCAGATAAATGCAGAAGTTGTAACAGCTGTATCCAATTATGGAGGTACACAGTTCATTAATAAGTAAGATTGAATCATGTTATTAATCCTTGGAAACAAATTAGATGGATGTTTTTGTGATTACTGAGTCCACATCTCGTTTCCTCTGGTTGTCAGCACTGCAATCCACAAGCTAAGAGCAGATCATTTGCACTGTCAGAGCTATCGTCCAGATGTCAAAAAATATATACTGTTAAATGCAATGTAAGTTTAAAGCCCATGCATTCTTTAAACACATAGTATAACTTAATTTAAAAGAATGGGATTTATTTACATTTTATTTTATTTTAGCTAGACTTCAAATAAAATGTTCTGTAAATGAGGAAGATACGCAAATGTTGAACATCTGCATCAACATGCTGAGGTTATTACGGAAGAGCTCACTGGAAATTAATGGGCACTAATCTTTTAATACTGTAGCTGATCCTTGGTCAACCTGTTACAAGAGCAAATTGCCATTCCCAGCTGTGCCACACCATAAGAGGATAAACATCAGAGTGGCTGGTCCTTAGGAACAACCTATTTCAAGTATATCTGCTCACTCTTTCACAGATAATCAGAGCAATGTTAATGGAAGAAAAGCTGCCAGAAGGGAATGGATGTGAATATGAATGAAATGTAATGCTATAGGAAGGCAAAAATGTATGTAGTAAGACACTGAAATCTCAGGATTTAAAGGCTGGAGAACTGAGAGAACTGAGAAATGAATTCTTCCCAAGAATTCATTGTAGTAAGACTCGGGAACCTGAAACTCTTACAGCCTGGGTGTAGGTACATCAGAGACGCTGTTCTCTCTTGTTCAAGTAAGGCCACAGTGGAGCTCAGGGGCGTTACGTGCCTACGTGCTCAAGTTGTTTCTGAAAGGCTTTTGGGACTCCCACATCTGAACTGACAGCGCCAGTCAGAGCGTGACTACGTACGTTCGGGAACCCAAACGTCTTTGGCTCTCACCAGCTGCTACAGAAGCTAAACTCCCACCAAAACAAGTTGCACCCAGCACTTTTTCTTCATGCTCACCAGATTTTTTCTTCCACAGAAGCATTTTCTCTTTCAGTTTCTCCCAATTTTGTTTTCACTTGCACTTACCCTGCCTTGCACTTCCTTCACAATTTCAATATGACATCTCCAGGTTATGGCAGAGCAAGAGCCCTCTCCGTGCCCACAGAGAGCCTTGCCTAAAGAAAGACTGCCAGCTGATGTATGCTCTCTAAGGTAGGAATAGCTGTTTACTGTTTGCACAACACCGAAAGCCAGGGGACCTCTGATCTACCTAAGGCCTTTCATCAGTACCGCAGCAATGTTATGTAATGATTTCAAATTTACGTTTTTGCCTGCTGTTGTGTATGCAAGAAAAGTATAGTCATCTTCATTAACATGACTGACACCTTTTTTTTATCATTCCCATCTCATTTTAGGATGACAACATAGAGAAAAGTTCTCTGTCAATGTTTTAAAATAAATTATGATACATCCTGTAAGCTAAACTGTAACTGCAGAAAAGCATAGTTTATTTCATATGCGATAAAATGGCCAATAGCCTCCTTCACCTCCTGGCACATTAGTGCCGGTGGATAAACAACTACATTTAAAGAAAGCTGTTTTGCTATTGCCTTTCCATTACCTACAGAAATACGGTCTAGGCAATTTTTAATAATGACAAACCCCAGCTTTTGTATGCGACCTAGCTCTGTAGAGACTGTCCTGATGTTTCTGCAATCTGGCACCCAGTACATGCAGTTCTGGAGAAATTACCAGAGCAAGCTGCTTCTCCTCAATCAACACCACCCGTGGCACCATCCATTGCCCGTTATGGGACAGGATTTGCCCCGTAACCTCCCTCCCTACCTTTTCCCTCCCTGTACAAAACTTCTCAGCTGCATCTACCGAGTACCACCTGGGTTAGCAGACAGCTGCCTGGCTCTTGAACTGCTTCTGCTAAGCACTGATAATATTTCCCAGTCTTGCTTACATGGTGGTATTACTTACACTGTTGGTTGCCGCTAGAATTACTAACAGCACAGACTGAAGGAAGCGGGGGGGAGAGAAGCTGCTCAAAAGATGACTGATGAAAATTGGGAAGTGGTGTTAACCATGGAAAAAATGAGTGTATTTGAGAATCACTAGTAAAACAGCTGAACACAGTGATGCTTTCCATGGCTTATGCCAGACTGGATTTAAAAGCTGCTACCAAAGAACATTTCTCCTCATTAGCCCTAGAGGCGCTTTCTTTGCCCAGCTACTCTGCCCAAAGGACTTCACTCCTCAGGATGGACCAGCACGGTATGAAGGTGGTGTTTTTGCTGCTTGTATCTTTAACTCACCAGCCCCATCAACAATTACCCTGTAAATGAATTAGCATCGATTCGTCTTTGACTCTTCCTCCTACCTGGATAATATTTGGCCAACCCTGGGAAAAGGAGTCCAGTTTGAAAGCAGCCAAGTTACAAAATACTTACAGTAAGAGCCATGCGGCCAGCCCTCTATGTAAATGAAGACTATCTTTTGTCCTTCTGCTGATTATGTGCGAATCACCAGAACAGCCTTTCCAAAACCACAGAAACTCCTTCCGCTTCTTGCTGATTCTTCTCTCTGCGTGCAGGAGGAAGGACGGTCTTGTGGCTCGCACAGAGACTTGGCTGTCAGCATGTGTGGGTTCTATTCCTGGTGGTCACTGACTTCTCTTGTGACTTTGGAAGAGTTTCCTAACTTCTCCATCCACTGCATCATCTGTCTGATATGCAGCTTAACAACATAATTCAATGCTGTCCTTTAATGCAAATACCACTGGAAAACTTCATGGTTTGGGAAAAGTGGGAAGTAGCGTAAGAGTTCAACATTTTATTTCCCTCACTGCGGCATTATTTAGTGGCACTTTAGTTCTCTGCACCAAGCACCATTTCCATCAGACGTGCAGTGCCTTTATCTCCGCATACAGTGCCACCACACAGACAGACAGCTATTTAAATGTACCCATCTTACATCGCCCAAGGGAGGAATGTGGCAAACAACCAAAGGAAGCAAGTCCAGAACCCACTTCTGCTTCACCTTCACAGTTAAGGTCATTTTCAAGACAACAGCTCACATGTTTCTTGTAAATCTACCTCCAGGCAACTGCTATCAGAGAAATTGTCCACATCAAATAATTACTGAAAGTTTTCAATGTCTGTATCATTTACTTCTGACTGAGATACCACCAGCACTGTGCACTGCAATGAGTGCCTGGCTATGTGAGGTGATTTACATGGCCAGCAAAACAAAAGCTGTGCTGGTACCAACACCTTCACTCCTAATTACCAGTGATAATGCCGACTTAGAGAAAGCCAGCCTGTGTGCAGGACCTTTATGGTAGTGCTCAAGTGGAGAGCTGCCTGGAAAGGCCATGCAGGAGGAGGTGGCACACTAGCCACATTCTTTAAATATTCCCTGCAGGTTAGAAGCAATTGTTTTTAGGAAAGCCTGAATTCCACAGAAATTGAATTGGCTTCAACTGATGGTCTTCAAATTCCATGTATTAAATGTAAAACTAAAGGCAGCTGCTATGTAAACAAGTACATAAATTTCTTCAATCTTGAGATTCAAGGAAAATAAAATACTGCTTTAAACAAATAACCAGGCTGCCTTGCTGCCTTGAATTATAAACCTGCAATGAAATTCAGAGTTCCTGCTCACACCCTAAGTCAATACAGCACACTTCACATGGCTCACCTGAACCTAGAGCTAGAAAAAAGCTGTCTGAGAGAGTTCTAATTCAAAACAAAATAAAATTAGAGATACAATTCCATTTACTTACATGATGTCTTTTTCTCCTTAGCTCTGGTGCTGCATAGCTTAAGGGCTGCTATAACGATGCAAGAAGAGATGTCATTCCAGTGATCTGCACAGACTTTTATCAGTATTGAATTGACCACCATTATCTAGGATTTGCCATCAAGTTTCAAAAACACCTCATATTAAATTAAGCTACTGAGCACCTAATTACAGGCTTCTATTCACATTTTAATTTCTTATATAGCAGCAAGGTAGAATTGCCATTTAAAACGTTTTGCTGCCTTTTGTTTGTCAGAGCTTTCTACTAAAATGCTCCCAGATCTATTGCAGAGATTGTAATCCTGGTTTTACTCGTGGAGGCACCATTTAAAGCTTTTGCTCTTGCAAGCCCTCCATGCACAATTACTTGGAAGTCCCATGTGCACTGCTAGCATGAGTATGCTGGGTGTGCCAGAAGGTTAATAGTCTTTGTGGTCCATACCACAGTCACTAAATATTGATGCAATTAGGGTTTATCTCCAAACAGACAGCAAGCAACTCAATTCTGCTGCTCTGAGACCGTAACACAGTTACAGCACTATTTTGTTATTGAGCATTTTGTAAGTATTAGCAGGTGTACACACAGTTTTGTATTTTTTTTTCACACTAGGACAGAAAAGGCAAGACAAACTCATGGCGTTTGACTGAGAATACAGATTATATAAAAATTAATTTCTTCCTTACCCAAACTGGTACTAACAGCATTGTTTACAAGTTAATCACTCCTTCCAGTGAAAACTGTGTGATTCAAAATTTGCCCATTTTCCTGGCATCTCAAAAGAGTCAGCTCTGTGCAGACAAATGAAAGCTGTTCATGGGATCAGTCTGTTGATTTCCACTGTCTGTGCTCCCAGATGCTACAAGAGCAAATATGGAGTCTAAAAGAAAAAAATAGCTTTGAGAAATTATTTCAATGCAATAACATGAGCTATTCTTAGTAATGAAGGAGATTTGTTTTCCTGATGTGATTCGAGATGTTAGTGGCCTTCCGTTTATGGAGTGCAATCTGAAAGTCAGAACCCAGAGCACTTACCTCCTTTTTCCCCCAGTTGCAGCAAATTCCCCTTCATTCCTTTCCATCAACACTTGTTTTTCTAAGATCCTCTTTCCAGAACATCACCTATTCTATGGAGAGCATGAATACAATGCTGTTATGAGCATCTTTATCCCACCCAATCTGCAGGCTCGTCAGTAGTGTCCCTAGGGATGTTCTTCGTTCTAACTCTTCATTCTCTGTTTTTATCATCTGATAAACTTCCCAGTAAATTTCATAGACTTTCACTGCCATTTACCAATAAAACGAATTAACAGAGAAAGTATTTATAATGTGATTGCAGCTGAGGGTTAAGCTCCTCTTCTTGACCTCACCACTAGAGAAGACCCTACGAATTAGAAACTGGAACATTATTGTGAACAGACATGTAAAAAAATTCCTTATTTTACATTCAGATGAACAAAACTAAAAGGAAAACATTCTCCCTGCTACAAAGGTACAGTGTGGTCATAAGCATAAGCAAGAAAGGAGAAAGGCTTTTCAGCTAAATGCATGTAAGGTGCGGGACTGAAGAATGAGATGTAATGAGTACATTTGAATACTCTGAGAACCTTGTATTTTTTTGGTTTGTTGTTTTTTTTTTTTTTCTTCTTCTTTAAAATCTCAATAACTAAGAATTGCATTAATTAACACCTGAGGGAATATTCATACATTTTTCATACATAAAAATAATCTGCATGCAGAAGCCATACAGACTGCCCTAGAGTGGCTCAATCTGAGTAGAGTGAGTCTTTGCAGAAAGGACTTTTCAGCCCCTGGAGTTGGCTCTCATGAGCGCATGCAGTAGACACTGGAGAAAAAGGAGTTTCAGGTGGCTCAGGTTAAGATATCTCATAAGGCCAGTGGCTACTGGGGGACAAAGAAGATGCTGAACATGTTCCACTTCAGCGCTCAAAATCTTTTCCAAAGGTCCCTAGTAACAGTTTCAAAACACAGCAAATCAAAATTGCTTTTTTTAACAAGAAAGGGAAAACATGTCATATGTTCTTAGGAAATAAGCTATTAGAAATTAACAGGAGATAAGTGACCTAACGACAAATATTGAAACCTCTATATGTACACACACAATGGAAAGGCTGCTTTAATATCCCAGCTTTGTTATCTTCTGGCAGATGTTCATTTCCTGTCTTCTAAAATGAATGTTTTTTAAAGTAAACATATAGAACTGTACAGAAAGAAAGCATAAAACCTTATTCAAAATGTCCCAAATCATTTTGCATCTCATTATGTCTTCATTGCAGGGGGTTTTGTTTGTTTTACTTTTTCTGTCTGGAGTTAAAGACCTGGCATATTTAGGTACCAAGATACAACTGCCAACTCAGGTTCAACAATATGAGTTAAGAATTTGAGTACTGTAAATCTCTAAGTTTTGCCATTTTTAAAAAATAATTAAATATTTAAAAACTTAATAAAAATTTAAACTTTTAATTAAGCTTTTTTGAGGCTGAATTGTTTAAAAAAAAAAAAAAGGCAGAAATATGCAATCCTTAAAAAATTTAAAAGAAAAAAAAAAAAAGAAGAAAAAAGCCCTCTGGCAGATCAGCAGCTTTAAAAGTCTAACTGACAAAAAGGAAAATCACCTTACAAACTGTTCTGCTTATATTGTATCAGACTGATCATGAGCTCTGACCAATTTTCTGATGCTCTGGCCATTTTCGTTCAGCTTAACAAATATCTAAGAGCAGACAGCCAGCTCTAGTTCTTCCATTCCTGTGAAGTGTCAAGTGTCTGAGACCCAGGAGACCGCTGCCTTCCTGCCCCCTCAGCAGCAGACTGACCGCTGAGGGAAAGGGCTTGCACATCTGCCTCCAGGTGACAAAACCAGACTTGGTGACAGCCCCACCGGCCCTCCTCCATGCCCGCAAGATGGGCTGCTTGCAGTTTTTCCTCCCTCACAGCTCTGTGAAAGATTTAGCTTCTGACTGTGACCTCAGACACACAGTCACGACAGAAAGAACACGTAGCAGCTGGTGACTGAAAGCTTCTTAACGCATTTTGGGCACTTTTTCTACAAGTCCTTAAGGAAGAAATGCAAATAAATGCTAGAATCGAGGCTTTGCCACATTTGCCTTTTTGTATTCTTTCCTGACAGTCCTAAAGCCTTCACCAGAAATGAAAGCTGTATGTTGGCAAATATTTTCATGTGAATTTGATGCTTTGATAATAGAGATTAATAGCCCTTATTGCCGTGTCTAATCGGCCTGAGCCCTGAACCCCTCTAAGCAAGTTTCTGAACTTCAGCCCAGAGAACACGGTGGTGATGGTGGAGGAGCAGCTCATGCTCCAGCTCCATTCCCATTCAGGTCTTCTGCTGAGGCTCTCAACAGAGAGACACCTCTGTGTAGCTTGGGACTGGGGGAATGCTTTTGATGCAACAGTTTGTGGTAACACCCAAATTGGCTTCTCACAAACAGTTGAAAGCCATTGAGTACTGTTGGTCGAGCTTCACCAACATTCAGGCACTAAGAATTTCAAAACCAAAGACAAATTATTTGGAGAGGAAAACGTACTGAGAGAACTTTGTTATGAAAAGCAACTTCCAAACAAAAGCACTGGAGTAAAGCCTTCACCTGTGGAAGCCCCTAAGAACTACTGAAATATCTCTGTTGAGTTTCAGTCATTCCTTATGTAAGGCCTGTAGTCAACAGTTGCATTATAAATTCCTGAAGTGTTTATATTTCACATACTAATAAGATATACTTGGAAGTTAAATAAAAAGCCTGTAATTACAAGTTTCAAATAGTTCCACAGAGACACAACTTCTGGCGAAGAGATGCCTAGAGCACTGCCTTCCTACCACGCATCTTCCGTGGCAAATGCCAGCCCTTGAGAGAAAACCACATGAAAGTCGACTTCTGCTACCTGGGAAACTTCCAGAACTTTTTCCATTTGGGATCTCAGATGCTATTTGAGCAATTTCTTATAGCACAATAGTAAATTTAAGGAGATGAACACTGAGGAATACTCAAAAGCAATTTAATTTTTTTAATACTAACACTAACCAACAATTAAATATCAAATTATTTGCTGAAACCTCTTCACGAGAAGTTTCCATGACTGGCTGTGAACAGAAGGCTTCAGCTTACAACGCTTATTTGCTCCTTTCCAGTTACCTACGTACTCCATCAGTCTCCAGTTGGGGTACCTCAGGCATCCTACATGCTCAGACTCCAGCAGAAAACCGAAATAGATCCAAGATTGTCCTGATGCAATCTGCCATTCACCTGGCTGCTAAAGGACAATCCGAAGCCTCTTCTCCTTGTCTCGGACTGAAATAGGCATAAATGACCTACAGCAGAAAAGGGCTGCATGTGATACGTGTTGCTGTAGATTTGATTTATGCTATTTTTAAACAGCATCCCAAGCAATAGGAACCCCCCGGGGGGATTTCTGCACCGTCAGGACATTGTTCCCGACCTTCAGCCCCAGGTAGCATTTGCTCGTTGCGATCCCACCTCCGGCTCGCCCCCCTCGGGGCTCAGAGGCAGCAGCCCCCGAGCTGGCGGTGTGGGACCCTAAGAGCAGGGCCGGGGCGGCCTCTGCTGGGCGGTGTGAGCCACAGGGCTGAAACCAGGGCAGGCAGGGTCGCGGTAACCACCGGTGTAAACGCTCCGGAAGAGCCCAATGAAATAAGATTTCCATGAATTAAGATTCCCATGAATTTATCCCATTGGGCAACTTTGTCCATCAGCCTTTTTTAGAAGGTGATCGCTCTCCTGAGTAACATCAGGGCTTTTTGTGCACTGTACTGTTAATATTATTTACCTAAAACACCGAACTAAGAGAAAAACTCCGCAAAGTTTGTGTTACTTTAACTAGTGCTATTGTAGGCCAAGCCCTTAACTTTTTATCAGAACAGCATCTGAATCACTGCACAACCTCAGGCTACACCGACCCATCACAGCAGGGCGCTCCCAGGAAGCTCAGTGCCTTACCGACAAGAAGGGACAAGAAACAGAGATGCCGAGAAGTGACGTAGGTGGGATCAGCAGCAGACCCGTCACAAAAGTCTCCATCTGCCAGCCTGCCTGCAGGATCACACCGTTTCCTACCGAAATGCCACACTGTGGAAATGATGAGTGCCATTACATTACAGCCCAGCAACTGCCTCGCAGCAAAGCGTGGATGTCAGCTATCAGGCTGCTGGAACAAATGAGAACACCGAGTAAATCTTCCTCTTCATCCCTTTTTCCTTAGGCTAGGGAAACCGCAGGAGTCTGGAAAAACAATAATCTAAAACCGGATACTCCTTATGGGACTAGTGAGCAGTATCTGATGTCTACATCAAAATAACTTCGAGGGGATGGCAGTGTCTATGGCTGGTGTAGAAGTGCTCCTACCCTAGCTCAAATTCCCTGCAGGGAAGTGCAACGCTGCACTAGCATCTTTTCCTGTGCTGCACAGAAACCAATCTTCTGCCAAACCCTGGCTGACTGGTAAAAGCAAAATTAAGTATTTATGAGGCAGCTGTATCGGATGTGTGCACTGCCACTCGTTCATTAGCACAGACACTGCGGAGGGGACAGTTTACAGCCACAGGGCCCATTACTATCTGGGAGAACCCAGTTTTCCACCCACATAGCATAACCCAACTTTCCAATTTTTCATAATCCATAGAGAGTAATGTCATCTTGTTGATAACAAAAGTAGGCATTTGTGATGATGGAATCAGAATTTGGTATCTTTCTTCATCACCTGGTGTCAAGTTGCAATTACATCTCTTCTCTCTTTCTTCCCTAGTGAAACCTTTGCAAAATTTGTCCAAGTAGTGAAAAGAAAGAAGCTACAAACTTGGAAAAGAAATTCTAAAACATTGCTCTTCCCTTTATACTGCAAGCAACCTTTGAGCTGACAGTAGAAACCTTTACAGCTGTGATCAACAAAATGTGAATGACCAGGTTTAACATTTGTGAGACAAAGGTAACAGTTTTGTGTTTAACTTCAGAAGGATGGCTTCAGAGATACAGCCCGGATTGAGACAGAGATCTGTACCACCAAGATTACTAAGAAATCCTGTTTGCAAACCAATTCCCGTTACACCATCCCTGGGGTCACCCCCGCCTCTGAACGTCCCCTTGTTTAGTCAATCACTGCCAGGCCCAAGCCATTTGAGAGGTTTGTGAAGCATTTTTACACAAGAATACTGGAAGCAGTAGGACGGACATGGACACCACAATAACCTGGTGAAACCATTTGGCTTGCAATTATCAGAGGTCACAAAAGACGAGATCAGAGTGTTGACCTTAAAATCCACAGCTACATACTACGTTAACCTAGTAGGTGCCCAGCAAGAGCTGTGCAAACCCACATGACTCTGCAGTAAAAGAGGTATGGATGCAATGGATGAAAAAAGGGCTTGGACTCACCCACGTGTGTTTGCAGATCTGTGGCCCTGCCTCACATCAGGAGCGTGGCACCTGTCTCACTGCACGGTGAGGGTGACTGGACAACCCAACCGGTGCAGCCCCAGCAAAGCACAGGACTATGCCTTTGGGCTGAATCTGAAATCAGACTGCACAGTACCACCAGGAAGCATTTGGATAATAAATTTTGCGTACATTTGAAAATGCACCAGGGCTTGTCTACAAAGGAAAGCTATACTGGCATACAGAAAGCCTTGAAGCTGAACTAATATCAGAGACGGATGCAGTCTCACCACAGACTACCCTCTTCCCGTTTATTTCCTGTTTCTGTGAGAAGAATTTGAGCCACCAAGATGAAAAACAGAAATACAAGAACATTAAGTATGAATCACAAATAATAAAAAGGCAAGAAAACAGACGGCTATGTACCAAATGGTACTAAAAGTTGATAACATCAACTGCATTTTTAAGGCTATTTAATACTAAACGCATCATTAAAGAGCATAATACCATTCACCTGCATAATAATTAACCAACTAAATTATTCTGTGGCCAGAAACGATGACTATAATTTAGAAATACATCAGCAAGAGACAGAACTCTACATAAGCAGATAGCATCAGTTCAGGCACTAGGACCAGCAGCTAAAGCAGATTACTGAGCTGCTGCCAGGCATGTCACACCTGCAGAAGCTGACAAAGCTTCCTGAAAGATCTCTGCATGGTGTTAAGGTGCAATGTTACTGCATCGAGTCTCCTTGGCTTCTCCTGAAGGTGCAGATGACGGTAACTCATGGTTTGATGACGCTCCTGAGGGGCAGCCTGTCTTGCCATGAAGCCTGGGCTAAAAAAGAAAACGGAAACCCCCCTGGGGATGATCAGAGAAGTAGGCAGAAGCAGAAGTTACAGAAAGCAAAAATTCCCTGTCTGAGGTCAGCATAAGAGATCAGGAATGAAAGAAAACCTCCAAGCTGTAAGAGTGCACTGGGTTCCTTCTCAAGAGGCCCGAAGGGACAAAACACACCTCCTCTGGGTTAGCCCAGCAGCTGAGAGGAAGATACACAGCAACTCTTACAACTGTTTGTTCCTCCAGGTACCAAGGGCAGCAGATTCAAATGATTACACGTTTGTATCTGGGAAAAATCTCAGCATATGAAGTACAGCAAAATGATTTTGAGGTCTCTGAGAGCAGGTGGCCACCAAGCAGACCCCCCTTTTCTCCAAGAGATGATAAACAGAAAATCAAGGAGAAAAATGCACTGAGTGGCCACCTTGCAACAGCGTCACTGCAGCAACTAGACTTTTTCCCTTCAGTTGACACAATTAGAGGTCTCATACCTACTCAAAAGAACAAAGAAAAATAGTCCAAGGATTGAACATGGAAGTCAAGGTGCAGAGCATAAGTTAATATAAAATTTGAAGCAGGGAGAGAAATGAGGCCTGTGTAAACCAGCCAGTTGCCATTGCTAGTACATGCAAAAGTCTGAGTTACACAAATGTAACATGAGCAACCTGCTGAGCTTCCAGTGCTACAGAGAACCTGTCAGAGTTCATTTAGATATGGGATTTGCTCTCCAGGATAGACCCCATTGAAGGGGCAAGATGGAACTCATGATGATCATTAACTTGTCCCGTAACTTCCAATATGATGATGAATGGACATTTGGTTCCACAGCAGGATATGCACAAACCTAATTCCTACAATGAAATATATTTAGGATATTAGATTGGGATTGGAGCTGTGGATCAGGAATCATGAGGTATGTCAAACACACAGGTTGTAGGGTAAACATTTGTTAAGAAGCCCAAAAGGTGGAAATGAACAGCACTGTGCCAGAGCGAGTTGGATGATGTCCAGGCTTGCTTGGTTTGGAAGAACACAGCAACTGCATCACAAAACAAATCAGTGTCTGCACGTGGATGCTGTGGGAAAATTTAACAGCATGAGTCCGCAACGGGGGGGTCAGGCTGGGTGTTAGGAAAAGGTTCTTCACTGAGGGGTGGTCAGGCACTGGGATGGGCTCTCCAGGGCAGTGGTGATGGCCCTGAGCCTGGGGAAGTTCAAGAAGCATTTGGACAATGCTCTCAGACATACTTCACAGCAGCAGATCTTACTGATCTGATTTAAAAAGCATTTTCTGAGAAAGGAAAAAAAGCCCATCTTCTATTTTTCTATTTCAAATGTCTTTGATTAAAAGTAGTCATGCCAATTGATACAAGGTATGAATTCTATCCGTACCTTACCCCAAGCAGAGATGATGATTCTTGTTTCTTGTAATTCACACAAGCGTATGGCACCCACACATCATGTTAGTTCACACTAACAATCACCGCTAAAAAGATGGCTCAAATGGGTTTAACCTGATTATAAACTATTTTCCCTTCGTTATAAAGATAACTCCACAAAAATAATTCAGATGTTTTATCCAGAAAAGCCATTCTCCCTTTCAAATCAGTATTACAACACGCCAGTAGATGGCACTGCTCGAATTCCATCTGAATCTGCACAGTTTCCTCCAAACTCTGCCAAGAAGGGGCAGTTCAGGCTCACCAGGGAAAGAGTGGCTCATGCATGACATGAATTAGCAATGATTAAAAAACTTGTGTTACTTGCTATCTAATAGGAGTGTTTCCATGTTAGTGCTCTAGCAAGAGCTAATCTATGGGTCAAATATGTCAGGAAAAAGCTTGGTGTAACGTGACGGGTATACCCACCCACTTAAGTGGTTTAATTTCTCAAATTAACATTTTTGCCTCTACTAATGATATCATGTAAGGGAACCTGCTGGCTACTTCTCTTTGGTCTCATACCTTCAGCTTGCACAAGAAACGTCTGCCGGGACAGTTACACTAATTCAGAAGTGTTCAATTTAAAAGGCTGTCCTGGAAACTGTTCCAGCAATTGCACAAACAAAATGCATGAACTTTGTGTAAAGAAAAGGCTTTATACGTAACTAAAAACGTGTGTATACACAATCACTACATCGATTTATATACATACATTACACATAGGAGATTCATTCCATCGTTAACCCTCTGACAAAGCAGACTCAGCCTGAGAACTTCAGTGTGCAACACTCATGCATTTACTTAGTTGACAGAACACGTTGTTTACTCTGAACTGCACAAATATTATCCACATAATTTTCAACATATTTTCAGATACCAGAACTCCTTCGAATCTAGACATAATTTACAAAGCCAGATTGCCAATACCACTGTGTCCAATATCCACAGTTCTCACAAATTACGTTCTCCACAAAATACAATTTTGATGAGTATCTTGTTTTCATGTAGACCTTAAAAGCCATCCCACGACCACTCAGATATCACAAAGAAGCATTTAAAAAACACACACGTTTAAGTTCATGAACCTGAACCTGCTATTAACTTATTAATGACACTACCTGATTTACATTCTCTTCATGCCTGTTTCTTCGACTGAAGGGATAGTACCAAGCTGTACAGCAGTATTTCTGTGTGATCTATATGGACCATCTTTGCATACATCTGTCTTGAAATATATCAAACACATAACAAATGGTAAAACACAAAAGCAACGTGATTTTTCAGAATTGTAGAGTTCAACAAGTTTAGACTAAACATTTTAAGACAAGAGAGAAAGCAGCCTACAAATCTATCACCACTTATTTAAGAACTCAGAATGCACTGTGAAAATGCATTATTTCAACAGCAATTATCAAAATAAATTAGCCGAATACATTAAGAACTACAGGAACACATTTGAAAAATGGTTGAGATTCCCACTTATCATTCTCTTTTCCTTGACCAATACACAACAAGCTTCAAAGTGATGATCAAAATCTTTTTCAAAGGGAGAGAAGTTTGCTGTCCTAGACAGGTAGGCTATCAGTGGTTTGATTGAGTTCACGCTGCCTCATTGCTCTTTCAACATAAGATGCAAGTAACTGCAAGCAGTTAAAAATAATGGTTGCAGATCTGTGCATGTAGACATATACACATTGCAGATGTGAGATATTTCAAAAACCATCATATAAACATACATCATGTAATACTGTACATATAACAGCTCCTGTACATCAAAAAGCATCATATCAGGACCGGTCATTGATAAAAGACCATAGAATTCAGTTGCCCAGTAAGTTAATTTCAAAGTAACACTTTAAATACCAATGCTACATTCTGCAGGATGAATTTTCTTTTTTTTTTTTTTTATGGGAATGGGTAGAACCATCTAACTCAGACATTTTGAGAGCACATCTTAACACCTCATCACTGTAAGAGGCTGATCGTCAACAACCCAGCCTCTGCAGATAGTTTCCAATTAATATCATTCTTGCGTCAAGTAGAAAGAAACGTCACTTTTTTCATAGTCAGGAATAGCACACAGAGCATCTAGTTCTTCCACTACACAAAACGAAGCTTCTAAATCCGATTTAGAAGAATATTTGCAGGAGTCAAAGTTAAGAATAACCTCCCTTAGCTTGTTTACAGTGATCTTTAACATGGGAAAGCATTGTGGAAAACTCTTATGGAGTTGTCAAAGCTAGCTACTGAGCACCCTTTTAGTATGATAGCTATGCTACACATGTAAATTAAGACAATTACCTTGAAAATGTTTTATATTGATCCTTTTACTGACGAAGAAAGATTAACAAAGAAGATAAATATGAAGAACACAAACACGTTGGATTATCAAGAGTTCTGTCATGCAGATGGCAGTTGTGGTGTTAGATCGTCCAAAGAGCAAGAAGACAATGTTGATCATTATTTGATCTTCCATTCATCAACGAAATAGTGTTTTAAGAGGATGACTAACTGTGAATATTTTTCTTAATCTCAAAGCAGGTTTTCATACATTAAATAACAGTAAAATATAGGCTAGTCTCTTTAACACCATTAGATGAATTACCTTTGACAGTGTGTAGTATGCATGCAGTGCAATAAAGAAATGTCATCTATCTGTTGGGTCATGAGAAAGATCAGCACAATCGAGCCAGATAAGGAAATGAACATTTATTAGAAACTGGTAGTTTGAGCTAAAAAGGTAAACATTCATTTTTTAAGAGACAAAGAATATACAATTGAACACAGTCATCAAAGAGGCACACAATGCAAAATGAAATTTGAAGACGACTCCACTTTTCCACGTTTGAAAACATCACCAACATAATTTTCAATATTTGCAATGGCACTTGCACACTATAAACAAAATGAACCAAGTCTAGAAGACACACACTTCTGAAGTCATCTCCATATCACACATGCAATACATTGGCTCATTGGTCACAGTCAGACAAAATGTTTGGGAAACAGAACTGATATCACAAATCCCATAAAAATACAAAAGATATTGGCAAGACCAAGAAACATTCAGATCAGAAAGGCTTTGTGCACGTGGATGATGATTTTCATACAATGATTTTTTTTTTTAAATGTGCAATATCAAAGGCTTCCCTAAATTGAAGGCCAAAAGACACAGCTAATGCTGCCATTTTCTAAAAATCTCATAAAACGTTTATAACATGAATCTTATGGAGTTTCATATTGGTTTATGGAATATAAACTGCAACCAAGGAAGCACAGATTTATATCTGACCTGTTGTCTGAAGAATATGGCCTAAAGGGGGCAGTTACCTGTGTGCTTGATTTCTTGTGTGTGTGTGTATATATATACACACATATATATGCAGCAGCTGTTCATGGGTGTTTAGTTGTGTGTGTACACACACAGATCCTCAAAGACCTTACAGGAATTTAGCATAGGAAGAAAGTTCTTCCTGCAGTAATCCGATTTCAGGAAGTGGTCTAAGAGAAGTGGCTTTTAGAAGGTCAAGTATAAAGATGATCTTAGTAAATTTGGGATTAAGACACCACACAAGCTGCAGAAAAAGTGTAAGAAGAGAGTTGAGCAGTAATTGTTACTCTATCTCAATGTTGCCCAAAAGCAACTGAAATGTCACATTACCAGCCCCAAACCCACCCCGCATCTCCAAAAAAAAGAAAGTCACTTGGGAATTGCTTATACATGGAATATCCTACTTTCTGCATTGAGGAAGTGCTGGTTTGGTTTTTGAGGAGGAACTGTCTCCCAATACTAACAAGTTCTCTGCGTGTGCTTCTGTTGCTTCATTAACATGAATCTGATGGGCACCTGAGATCACGGTTCCATTTGGTCACTTGGACAAAATATTTCAGTATTTTATGACCTAAATTTCACAAAAACAGTCAGCATGCACAGTCCATAGATAACTGTGGAGGAAAGCAGATTTATCTAACATGATGATCCCGAAAAACCTTTACATAATAATGTAATCCCTTACTGGCTACAAGCACACAGTGGACTGTAACCCTCAGAATAAGGGAAGAAATGGCAAATCCAAAGTGAGAAGTGTTTCTCTCCTCAAGGCAGTTTTGATGAGCTCTGAGTTCTTGACTAATTCAGTCTATTTCTTCTAATACAGCCAATAAATAATTCATTATTAACTTAATACTGGATCCTTCACCCTATTTTTAAATAGTAACTTGCACTTGTATGAAGAAAAAAAAAATCAGTAACTCATTAGCTTTTTCTGTTTCTGTATATTATGATCCTAAAAAAAAAACATACAACTGTAACCCAAAGCTTGTCACAACAGCATTTACAAGTGCAATGGAAATCAGGTCCAACTAAGCAAGATATGAAAATCACTGATTGTATTACAAAAATACCATGCAAATCAAGTGAGGTATTCTTGATACTGTGGAACAACAATTTCTCAGGCTCTCAGACTTTAATTAAAAAGGTTAGCTTGAAGATAAAGGTGATGGGCTACACTTGAATGTGTTACTCCGTTCGTTTCTGTATCTCAAGGTCATGTTTTTCAGAACTTAGATTAAATCTTCAGAAATAACAATAGTAAGTGCTTACTTCTAGAAGTGCAAAATGTTGCCTGTGAATTGCTTGAGTATAGGCAGCATGACAAAACAGAAAGTCACTTTCATCTGTTCATTATCGAGGCAATACAAAGTTCTCCTACCTTTGGTTTCATCTGAGCCAAATACATAGTTAGAGAAGACAAATACAAGAAAAAAAGCCCCTAAGTAAAATATGCATGATTTCCTGAAAATATAAACATATTATTGATTTAAAGATACAGATTCTTGATTTTTTTCTCAATTCAGTGACATTAAAGTGCAATATAGGTTTAGAAATGTTATTTAGAAATGGTGAATTACAAATTAAGAAAGATTTTCCCCTCTTCAGGACAAAAACAGAAGTTGCAGCACCTCTCCACAAAGGTCTGTCTCTAATTGTAAGAGGAGACTGAGAAATCATTTTTGTTCTGGTGTTTCCAACAACATTAGAAACATCTCACCTTTTTCCTTCATTTCATGCTATTCCCAAATTCTGTTTCATTTTTTCGTATACAACATAACTGATGCTGACAGCTGGAAGCACTTTCATAAAATTAGGGGCTATGCCCCGATAAAGTCCTTGGATTCCTTCTGTAGCAATAATTCTTTGAAAGAGACCGACCATGTTTAGCTGTGGAGCTCCTTCCACTGAGGCTAGAACAAGAAGATAGGGTTATACAACAGTTATAGTAATATTAAAAATTAATTCTCACTACACCTAGGTAGTGAGCCCATCAATTCTAGGGTCATCGTTTAGAACTTCTATGCTCACAGTGAGATCTCTCTTTAATGCACAGACATTTGAGATCCATGCATCTAAATCCAACTGAAATGCACTGTCCACCTATACTCTTCTTGCTCCTATTATTAGTCTTGTGCACAAACTTATCAAGCAAGAATCTTTACTATGAAATTGTTTTCCTGAAATGTACTCCAGAGCAAACATTGCTGTCAACATTCACAGCATGATCAAAGTACTCTTCATTTTGCCACTAAAGTTTAGGAAACCCTCTTCTAACTTTTATGACAGAATTCTGAGACTATGGCAGGAGCTCTATATCTTGCATGGAATGTGGCTCTCCGAACACACAGAACACTGGTGTCTGTCTGTAACGTTACATTTGAATCCAGTATGCTAAAGAACAGTGATGAGCAACAGGGACAAACACCTACTGTTAAGATTTTTCCAGATAATCCTTGCTTTTTCAAGTATTTTTTTTCCTGACTCCATTATTATTTTTTTTACTCCCACATTCCTGTTGCAGCCATCACAAATGGTACAATTTTGATGTGATCACACAAAAGATTTTCAGTACAACCGGACTCACCTTGAGCCTGCATGCGCGTTCTGACAAGAGCGAGAGGGTAACTGGCTAGCTGCCCACATGTACTGGAAACAGTGCCACATCCCAGCAGTACAAAAACACCCGGGTTAGCAGAGCTCGATGCATAGTGTTCTAGCCATGTAGTCTTTAAGAGCTGTCAAGATATAAGATTAAATAGTAAGACGAGATACTTGCATTCCAGAAAGTAAATAAACACGTTTATTTATAAGACTTGTTATGGGTTCAAACCAGAAAAGCATCAAACTCACTGAAAATACACTTGTAGGGCTGGTGTAAAGTGTAGAGGTAAATACCTTCACACACAGGAACGGACTTGAACCAGACTATAATAGCTACTGCCTAGAAGATAAATCCTTAAATATCCAGCCACAGGAACAGGCGGCAGCAGTGCCCCTACTCTAAACCAGTTAAGACTTCAGGAAAGGGGGGTGGGAATGAACCAGCATTCCACAGGGTGTACCAAAAGCTCACATGGCTGGGTGTGTTACTCCGTGCAGAAGTACAGATGCAAACTGTAGGACAGAACTCCCATACTGCTTTGAAACATTCACACAAGTAATTCTGCTGATTAGTATTACTGCAATATCACAACAAGATTTGTCTAATCTAGAAAAAATTTAGTCTATGCACATAAGTTTCAAAATGTGCTAAGTAACAACTCTTAGCACCTAAAGTAGATAAAAATATTTTAATTTGTGATGATGGGTGTAAGATGTGTCAGTTCGTCTTTAAAGGAAAAGGTATTTTAAACTCCTCAGGACAACTACATGTCAGCTACAAAGAATTCTGGTGGCAGGAACAGATGCATATGTAATACAAGCTACTATAATCCAATTACAAATCAGAGAAGATGGCAAAAAACGTGCAAAGCTGCAAAATACGTAGCACACTATTCCTATCAGTCAGGTAAAAACCTGACTCAGGATGGCTATGTAAGGGGTACGTTCCAAGCCAACTGGGTCATTTAGTTACACAAGAGTTGTATCGCCCAAGTCTATGCAATGCCTCCTTTTTAGCAGATTTCTTGATTGATCCAGTGAAAGAAAGGAGCCCTGCATGCTAAATGAAACTTGTAAGTAAGGACCCATCTGTACAGGCATTTCCTCCAGGAAGGGCAAAAAAGAAAAATCTTATAACTAAAATCCAATGCAAGTCCTCATTTATCTATTTCAAATTGATAGCAACTGCAATACTACAAGCATATCACAAGATCTGACTAAAGAACATTCACACTTTACATAAATTAACTAGTAAAAGCTGCATACATTCAGTGATTAAACTCACCTCATAAACAGCAAGGTCAATGCCAGCATAAGGAATTATTCCCAAAATGTTAGGAATATAGCCTTTGTAGAAGGCCTTTAAACCTTCTCTTTTCAAGATCTTCTTAGCACAGTCAAACATCCCAGAATATTGCCCAGTTTTACCCACAGCCAATCTGGTCTTCAAAACCTAAAAGGGAAAAAACAGTAGCCTTAATTACATACTTTTCATTATGGTAGTTTGTAAATACAGAAAAACACGATGTATCTGTTGGAACTGTTTTGCATTTTGGTACTTCAGGTCTCCTTTGTTGCAACTGCTGTTGAGGCCTGGCTAGCAGTTTCTTCAGATTTTATCATTACTGCAGAATAGCACACACTAACATACACTACATTACAACTTAGTCAAAAAAATGAAAATATGATGGAACTTTTTTTTTTTTTAAAGTTTCTTTTTACCTTTATCTTCCTGATTAAAACAAGCAGATTTTAATCAATTTGAAGGCATCAGTGTAAACAATATTTAACATAAGCATTAGCTGAAGAAAAAGAGCATTCACATACTAGCAGGTCTTACTTCTGATCTACAAACAGCAGAGCACATTAAGAAAGTTTTTCAAAAGGCATGACCCTGTGAGAAGTACTTAAGGGATATAAAGATTGCTTTTCACTAATGAAACCCAACATTAGGTTAATAATAAAATGCGTCTATACAGCATCTTAGGACAAATAAATGAAAAACAGTATCTAAAAGAAACCACAGATAGAATTTATGAGCAAGAATTTGGCCTACTTTAAAACCTCTTAAGACTGCAGCTTCCTCAGGAGTTTCCTGAGGCTTTTTTTTTTTTCTTTTGCTTAGAAGCATCCTAAAAAGCATTTCTAGGACAGTAGACGGGAATATTACCTTGTAGAACAAATCACTTCTCTATTGACCAGCCTATTTGTAATATTTGACCTAACATTTCAGTTAAACCTATGATGTAGCCATCTCTGTGCTCAGGCTACCTGTGACTCAGCAGCTCTAATGACAAGGATAGAGTTAAAAAAATATATATTAAAATTATCACTGCCAGCAATAAACATGTAGGTTTTATTACAAATGACACCTTCCTTATGGAAAAGTATTTAGGTTATATTTTAAATAAATTCAAAATTTTGATGTCAATATTGGTTTAATGCCAGCCCCAACATACATTCGAGTTACTTGCACAAAAATATGTGTTCTAAGGAATAAGAAAATAAGGAAATACTTTGTACTTCTAATGAAAAAAGCAGGATGTGAAATTGCTACCCTACAGCAGTTCATATTTTAATGCTAATTAAATTGCAACATACATAGTACTACATACAAATATGTCCTACAGAGGAAAGACCATTTAATCCATCATGCCTCAGCTGTAGCTGTTTTGTTCTCCTTCCCAACTGATCTCCTGATCTGACCCAGCTCCCAAATCACAATGCAACAACTTCCTATCTGTTACAGGGAAGATCATTCCTTGGTTACATATATAGTAGGAAAGATTTAGGCCGAATTCAGAAACTGCCTTTAACGTGTACTTCATCTTAAATGCATTACAGGATTTCTTTTCCTGGACAAGGTTGCGAAGATACATTTAAACTTTGCTCTATGGAGAGACATACTTGAATACCAAATTCAGAAGGTGCAATCACACAAAACACAATAACCCAAGTTTCAGGCTCACATCCAGAGGTAAATGACACCATCACCTGAATTAAACAGGACATCCACACATACATAAAAATGAGAGGTATCAATTAGAACACAGCATATTCTTTAGTGTCTAGCACTGAAATTCTGAAAGGAAGTGCAAAGTGAAAATAAGTTAGGATATAGGAATTCCAATACTTTCAAGAGTAAAAATGCTGAACCAGACATTTGGCTGTCTCCAATGGAAACAGATGTCCTGTTACTAACCTCCATGGGATAAATAGAAGTTTGTGCTGTTGCCCCAGCCAAAGAACCAGATACGAATCTTTCAACAGTGCCTAGATTTCCATCATCCTTAGTGAGTATCTTCTTATACTGTAAAGATAAAGTACATAAAATAAGTATCATCTTTGCATGCTTTTCAGCAAGAGTTACCTCAAGAGGTAAGAGTACAGTACAAAATGTCTTTTCAAACTGCATTGTGTGTATATATTAATAGTTGTATTTACTAAACCGGCAAACTTTGCACTACGCTTGCTCCAACTCTGTCATCAGGGATTCACAAAAACACTAACATGCAAGGATCCTTTACATTACGTTTATTGTTCAGAGGCTCCCAGAGAGCTTTGCATATTGCTTCATTCAAGACAGATGCCATCATGCAAGAATGCACCATCGTCAGCTCCCAAAAGGCTCAACGAGATTAACAGTGTGCTCAAAGTTTCCCTATGGAATTTGGCCATTCAGTCGTGCAATACCCCAAAATTTACTTAACTTTTTGTTGGTTTGATTTCATAGTTGTACAAAAATATACGTGTTACTTGAGTATTATTTGAGGCAAATAGATGAAAAACAAAGATCGGTTAGCTATACCAGAACTGGAGCTCATTTTCCAAAGGAAGATTAGGCCTTAACATGATGTGTAAAGCTGATTCAGAGGTAAATATAACTCTGAAATCCAGGACAAGGGCATCTTACATAGAACCAAGATATTTGACTTAAACAGGATCCTGTATGAGTTCAGTTAGTATAATGCATCAGGGTTTTGGTCGTTTTCACTATATATAAAGCTATAAAAATGGGAAGACAGTTAAAAATTAATGACTATTTATACTGCTTATAATATAATAGCAAAATCTGCAAACTAAGTATTCTATTAACAGAAAAAAATAGACTATTTGAAATCGGAAAGTCAGTCTAAATTGCTATGGTACAATCCCCACCCATAGGAACTCCTTCCTATACAATACAATAGTGCAAATGACAAACAGTGAGAACGATATAGTATTTTATATACCATTATTTTCATTCTTGATTTAGTATCTTACCTGTTCATAAGCCCAGAACTTAATAGCTGTTTCGGGAGCTATTTTCACAACATTCACACCATTTCCCCTCCAGAGGGATCGGACACCACCTTCTTTCAACATTTGCTTAAAACCACTGGCTATATTCATTTTGTTTGACTTTGAACCATGAACCTAAACAAAAAAAAAAAAAAAAATCACAGTAAGAACAGTGCTCTGATTAGGCTGTAAAACTGGTCATCTAAGTAGCCTACCATTGCTTAAATGAATTAGCAAAATCATATTCACTATTGAAAATATTGTATTAATTGCACAAGCAGTATAATACTTTGCTTGCATTTTTGCCAGTATCACTGTGCAAAACAGTCTTGTGGACACAAAGTACTGAAACTGTGGAAACACAGCTAGACCTCCAGAATTCAGATATTGTATTTGGCCATCACCTTTCTCTATCAACTCTCTAAAAACTGAAATGATACAATGGAGACTAATAGGAACTTAAACATTGCACCTACCTGCATCATCACTTTAAGGCGATCTAATGGTGCTGTACCTGTTCGAGAGACAGCACCAGCCACTCCTCCTGCTAATAGCTGCTTCCACCACTGCCCAGTCTTTTTCTCTTCCTCTGTGAACTCATCTGGAACAGTCAGACTATCTCCAATATCCAGCACCTATTAGAATCCAAAGCAAACAGATGCAAAAAAAGAACGTCTTATTCTACCATCTCAACTTTATCAACAGTTCTAATTCCAAATTGGCCTAGATCCTGAAAATATGTAAGTAAAAATGCCAGTACAAAATAAATAAAACATAATTTACATTCTAAAATCAACTTGCTATGGATTGCTATTGTTATTCAGTTAACAGCATTCTTAAATACTTCTACAGAGCAATAACACCACGGACCCACCATTTCAAAGACTGCACCATCGTCATTAAAAATTATGACAAATTTCTGTCCTGAGTATATCCCAAACAAAGACATCCTGTCATGATCTGTAAACCTCTTCAGCGAGCACTAATGCCTACATGGTGATTTTAACCTTTCGCAGGACAGTCTTCTAGGATTAGTTTGGTAATCTCTTAAGGATGCTAACAAGAGATTTCACTCTCACAGTAATTTATGAATAAGTATGTGGGGAATTTTCCCCTCACCCTGACATTTTAAAGTAACATTTTTATAGCCGATATATCAGAATATTAAATTCCCAGCAGCTGTTGTGTATTACCTTACAAAATGATGAATTTGACTGCTTTATTAAGTTGCCTCTCATTATCAATTATTCTGAAATACATATTAATGACTTTTACTCAGCTATAAAAGTTTGACATGTCATTACCAGGTGCATGTGTGCATGACTATTCAACTTGATCAGAGAAGAACATTCCACAGTCTTATGCCTTGGACAGCTTTATTGCTAAAACCTGTAGTAATTTTATGTATCTCTTAAAAGCAATCTTTGCTCTCCATGTAACTTATAGCCATAACAAAAGAGAAAAATTGCACCTTAGATGATGCAAAGCCAGTATTATGCATAAATTAAGCCTATAAAGAAGCAAGAATGTTTTAATAACTGATAACAAGTACTGACCAGCAAGCATGTCAACTGACAAAAACTTTTTGTTTTAAACTATGGCTAATGTTGATTTTGGACACTACACCTTATTTATGCTGAGTTCACTATCTGTTAAGTAGACTATTCTGTCTTGCTCACTTGAAATTTAAGAACTGCAGTATGCAGTTTATGCATTTATCCACTGTACAAAGAGGGAAAGACCTAACTAGTCTGGATATTGAATATAAAATAGATTAATGAGAAAATCCCTTCATCTTTCTGACATTGTTTCCAAGCAAGGTGCCTTCAGTTACTCAATCACAAATTAAGTCATCAAAAGAACAATCAGAACTCTTAAAATATAGATTCAGGGTTCTTACAGATATTACACATACCTACCAGAGTTTAAACCTTACATCTACTTAGTCCCAAATGCAACTTTAACATGAAGACTAAGAAAATCAAAAGTTAAAGCTAAATTTAGGGGGGATTTGTAACAGAACACCACAGCTATCATAATACTTCTATGCCAACGCAGCTGTCTGCTAAGAAGAGTGACAGCAATTTTACAATTAAAAAAACCAGTGAATGACAGCCAGACATGTGAGGTCTCACATCTGCTCTTATCTGAAGCACCAGCTGTGCTACCGTATGGCTGGATTTTGCTCGCTGTGATAACTGGGTCAAGTGATCTCCCAGTGTCGCAGTCAGAAGAGACGCCTAAACATTTTCCTTGGGGATAACAGAGGCTATTCCGTGTAACAAAAAAATTTAATAGTGGTAGAAAGCATATTATTACAGCCAAAGTATGTTTCACTAAACAAGCTGGGAGCAGGACTACCTTATCTCACAGCAGTGCTCCAAGGGTTTTCCCTCAGCAAACAGGGAGCTGACTCCCTTTTGTCAAGCATCTCTGAAATGAGTTTGTACAGTGTGAACTGCTCAAAACTTTCATGTCTCAAACTGAATTTTACTACAGAAATGCTGACTGATCCCTCAAGATATAAATGGTCTCACTATACTCAAATCTGTCTTTACCTAACATTATGAATTATTCCATAACTATGTAGTTTATCCTTCCATTTACAGGAAGGATATTAGCAAACTCGATTATTATTGGCTTATTTACCATATTATTGCTTCTTAAAAGTCAGTGACTAAGGCATTAAGAGCTCTGTTCAATAGTAACTTAAAATAACGACCTACTTGTTGCTGTACGCCCTGTCATTCTTCAATCAAATTCCATAACATAATAAATATAAGAACATATAGCATAGAAAGTCATCGATAATAACACTTGCAATTTCAAGGTAATGAAATCTACATGTGTTCTGTGCTTTTGATGTGGTGAAACATACAAATGTACTGTAATATGAAACAAAAAAAAGATTTAATACTGTGGTTAGTATCTTTCTGTGGAGTATCTTCAAAGGAAGAAGAGGATTTCTTCCTAGGAAACACTGGCATTAAAATTTAGATGAAGAAAGAGTTCTTGTTCTAAAGAAACTCAAATGACACCATCCTGCTTGTAAACGAGAGGGCATTAAGCAAAAAGGAAAACCAATCTTTTAAATCTATGAAATACAACTGTGATGCTGTCATACTCAATACTGCAACTTATCACAGCAGAAATTAATTTAAGAGCTAGACTGAATTAAAAATAGAAGTTCAACTTACAGTGGAATGTTTCCAATATCGAATTATTTCCTCAATGTCTGTAGCAGGGTTAAACATAAAGTGATCTCTCCACTCATTCCAGTCTACTGACATTGTCCCATCAGCATCAATACTACAAGAAATTGAACCAAAACAGGTAAGGCAACAGCAGCAGCATTGAGTGTGTGTTTGTTTGTTTTTAAATACTGGCCAGCACAGAGATACCGTCTGTAGACTGGACATGGAGACTTAAAGGGTAGATCTGCCATGGTCTTTCAATATCATGTGGTTCTTAGACAAGCGTATGTAACATTTTCCCATTTAAAAACATAGAACACTTGATTCTATCAACATTTGCACAAAACTGAGGCATAAACATTCCCCTCCTATAACCAGATCCTAAACAGTGGTCAGACTTTGTATAACCCAAGAATAGATGAAATATGCAAGAATTACTGTAGAGGTGCCACTGAAGTTTCCAACAATCTTTCCAAGTTATAATCCCATTCAATTATTATGTTCTGTGAATTAGAAAATGTACTTATGAAGAATACAAAGAAGCTCAAAATATTTTAAGAAATGACAATTCCTGACCTTTGCAGGATCTTTTCCGCCTGTTTTTCTGAAATGTTTATACCCAGTATCTTGAGGGACTGGACAACTTCTGATGCTTCAATTTTTCCTTGAAACATTAAAAGAAAAATAATACATATTTAAAACTTTGAACTTCATACACTTGCAGCTCGTTGAATTAAATCATACCACCTACACAAGAGCAAAAACGCTTTAAATTTTAAACAGAGATGATGCATTTTTATTATACACTATCAGGACCGAGCAAATGTAAGTAAATTAAAATCATACAGCTAAATGAGATGCAAACATCCAGTAAGTTAATAGCTAATAGTTTAATAGATACATGGATAAAATACAAGGACATTCCTATCTGGAAAGCAAAGATCCACAGATCAACCAACCTGGAAGATAATAAAAATGACTATAATTATTATTTCAATCTATAGTATCCAATAACTACATTCCTATTAAAGGAATGAAGTAGAGGTTTCAAACACAATTTGTGGTCTCCAGTTTAGACAAAGAATATAAATTAAGATAATAAAGGCATACCATCATTGTTTTTGTCCAGGCTCTTAAACGCCAGTTTCATTTTCTTTTCATGATCTTTAAGATACTGCATAAATTCTTCAAAATCTAGCTGCCCATCCTGGTTAGTATCTCCAGCCTTAAAGATTTTCTGTTGAGAGAAAATTTAACATTTCAATTTTCCAAATTATAGAAACTCACAAAGTAAAGAAAGTTCAGGCTTACGAAGTATCATATTGGTCACTTTGAGAGTCAAATCAGGAAAATACCTATGCATACACTTCAGAACCAGTTTTGTTTCCAGAATTAAACATATTCACAGTAGTTTCATGAAGACAGAAAACTCCCAGCAGCAAAGATAGCTTTAAGAAAGTGTTATTTATTATTTCTAAACCTTTCTATTCAAAGATGTTAGGGTTTCTTGCTAGCACTGGAAAGTTACACCTAAAGGTACCCTAAAGGGACGAAGTTATTTGTGGAGGAAGGCTCGGTGAACGTGACAAACTCACAAAAAAGAACAATTTTAGACCTCCGACTTTCTAGCTGTACACAGGGTCGACAATATTCCAGTCAAATTAAGTAGTTTTAACTATCCTTTTCAGTTGTGTCCTGTGTTCTAAGTATTAAGATAATGATATAAATAGCAATTAAATATTTAAGCTTTGACCTTAAGTGTAGTACTTTTTGTACTAGGGTCTTAACTGACTAGCACTTCCACCCCTAAGCATTTGGGAAGGCAAGCCTAAGGCCTGACAGAAAACAAACAGAACAAAACACACACACACCACACATAAAACACCACACACCATACAAACACACTACAACGAACCTGTAGCAAATACAAATAGTTATTTTCCACTTATGCATGCATTTGCTAGTAACAGGCCTGCGGATCAGAAACGCCTACGTATAAAATTAACTATGAGTTGAGTATAATGAACGATTGCCAGCACAGCAGGAAACAGGCCTGAAATACAGACAAGGGGTGTGGCACGGCTGCCTGGGCATATACTTTCCCTTCATCAAAGCACCTGAAAGGTCTATCATCTTCCTGTGTGAAAACATACTTTAGGAAAAAAAGGGAAATTCCAGCAACCCCGCAGAGCATCAGTCTGTAACCACTGAAGTAGGTCTTCAGAGGTAAAGCCCCAGGAACAGCGAAGCCAAGGCTAGTAAGCTCCACAGGATTTACTAGCAGGAGATTTAAGCCACAGCAACAGATACTCCAAGAAAAAAAAAAAAAAAAAGAAAAAAAAAAAGAAAGCCCTGCAGAGCCGGCAGCCGGGGTCAGCAGAGGAAAGGCCAAGCAGCACTGCTGCAACAGGCACCTCCCATCCTCTCACACATCCAGCAGGACACAAGGAAACAGGAGGCACGGCCACCGCAAAACCCCTGCTCTAAAACAGAAGATTTAAGGGAAGTTATGCCACACCTCATCACATGGGCACTAGTTCCTGTGTTGTTGCTGAGTCTGTGAAATCCTAAGGGGCCAGCACACCATACCAGAGCTGTACGGGGTAGGTAGGAGACAAACCTGAGAGCAGAATTTCTCCACTGAGTTGCAGCAAGTTTCTGAGCACTTCAGAGTATGCTTACAGCATATATTAAAAAGCATTGCTGTTCTAATTTGCAATATCTGTTTTTACATAATTTTGTTTACTCCACTATAATCAGCATAAGTCCTTAAAAGAACCAAGTCCAAAAAGACCTAGCCTACAAAAGCGCAACATAAAGGAAGCTAAAAACACTGGTGTACATGTTGTAGGTGTCTGAGGACTTTTGAAAACATCTAAATACATTTATATTGCATCATTTTTTTCCTACTTCTCTACTAAAAAGAGAACTTTAATATTTAATCTTTAAAAAAAAATATTAATAATTCCCAATTAAACAAGGGGAGGATTATGTGGTACTCCACAGTGAAATACAAGGCAAATTATCTATCTCCTATAATACAGCAAGTTATGCACACTAAAACAGATGCAAGATATTGCATACTCAGACAAGTGTCTGATTTCAGCCTAGAAACACAATTCTGCAGTACTGATCTTAATATGTTCTCAAGTCCAGCTTGCCAGTGCTACCAATAACTTGTCAACACAAACACACTCACCAATTCAGTCTTATCTCAGGCCTTGCCTTACCAAAAAATAGTTAATGGGTACTCAAGTTAAACAATGCATTCCTGACTACGTCCTTCCAGTAAGAAATTAAACAAAAAAGCTAACAGATTAATCATTCAAAAAATATATCTATTAAAAATGACTCTGGGCAGAAGGAGCCCCCACCTCCAAGAAAATGCCATCTCAGCCCCTCTTGTACTGCATGCACAGCGCCTTGCACCACAAGATGCTGGTGCCTTGCTAGGCTCTCACAAGCAGCAGAGAAGGGGCAGTTTCCGTGGCAGTCACACACACAGAGCTAGTTCCAACCAACACGAACTGCTGCCATGCCCTGCTGCTATCTGAAGCACACAAAAATATAAAACAGGGGAAGTGTTGTTCTGGCTCAGAGATATGACAAAATTCCAATTGCAAAACCTCCAGTGCTAAGGATGATGTAAGCCAAAGAAAACAGAAATTCCTAGGAGGCTTAGAGAGCTGGCGATCAGTGTGTGTGAAGGGGGGCACCTTCCATTTTATCTGCCAAATAAGCAGATTTTACACTGCAACAACTAGAAAAGGATGAGCACAAGCTCACTCTCTGTTCCCTACTTTTGGTTTTAGTTATTTTCCACACCTCAGGCCAGCATCAACCACCCTCAGTGCAGCTGAACAAAGGAACAGGGAACAAAATGCGTGCTGTACTTCAGCAGGCACGTGCCTATTTCCTCACACTACGAACATAAAGTTCATACAAACAAAAGCTTCTTACAGTCTAAAAAAAATGTACTATTTACGTGGGTTTTAAAGCTTCAGATTAAACCCCCTAATTAGCCAATTTGTGGAACAAACAGGCATGCTCAGAGAGCTTGCCTTCCACTCGGGAGGCTGCGTGGGCACAGGCAGGGGGCAAACACTGGATTCTGCAAGCAAGCCTGACACCACCACCCAGATGCAAGCTGCCCGTCCACAGCATCATGGAAGAATTCAGCCCAGCGAGATCAGGGGGCGCAGGACCACGTCCATCCGACTCCTGAACACCTCCAAGGGAGGAGATTGCACAGCCTCCCCTCCCCAGGCAGCCTACTCCAGCGTCTGACCACCCTCGCTGAAGTTCAGCGAGGAACCAGACTGCTGCTCTGCATTTCATACAGTGCCAGATCCCAGGATTTACTGTCACAGCCACCTGTCATCGTGCCGCTTCCTGGTTCACCAACTTCTCTGTCGGGGAACTGGATGCCTTGTAACGAGGGTGCGTTTACAACAGTCGGGCAGGAACCAACCCAGCTGCCAGCCCGTGCACTGGAGCCCTGGGAAACAATGCTGAGTGTGCCTGGCACCTAAACCCTGCCATGTGTTGTTACAGGCTAACCCTGGAATCGCTTCACCTTTAGGCAGGCCCAGCCCCAAAAGGAAATGATTTATTTTTTCAAGGTGTGCCATTTCTTTTCTCATGCGAGAACTTTAACCCTGAGGCAATAAATATAACCCACCGTACAATGAAACAGTGACCACAAAGAATTACAGAACTAAGATGCCGATTTAGGTTCTCTCCTGTTATCACTTAGGGCCCTCGCACCTACGGACTAGAATACTCATGCTGGCCTATTTGGTCATGACCTTGCTGCCTTTTAAAAACAGTTCTGTTATCTTTGTTTTCTGCTCTGTAGTCAGTTAATGCAGCTGCTTTTGAAGTCTTGCACAGCAGTGCAACACCAGTTTGAAAAGCCAAAACACAGAAGAAATTTATTTTACAATTTCCATATTACATACAGCACACTGCAGTGCTTAATTTCTACTCCTCTGGAAGTCCTCTGGCTGTATAAACCTAAGCCAGCAGGTCTGTCGACAAAAATCAGGAAAGTTATGGACAAGCTTTAGATACACCTAAAGATACTGAACACACATAAGTATCCCAAAGAGTTATTAAATTACTCTGTGACAAAGTCATGAACTTTTACGCATTCATAGCTATTGTGTAAAGAAAGAGAACACAAGATAATACAAGTCTTAGTGCTTTTAGGTACCCTTTTCTTTTTAATTCACAGTCGAATGTTGATGTTATGTGTCGCAATTTTGCCTGTATTCTGGATAAGCCTTCGCATTCTTCTGGTTACAAAATTCAATTGTATGGGGAAGGTGGGGCTACACAGTAAAACTGATTGCCAATCAGTTATTCTTTAGCTTGTTATTTCAGCTAATTAAGACAACGTAAAGAGTACTTAACAGGAAGTGATCCATCAAGAAGTTACTGGGCATTTCTGGCTTCCTATCATGCTATCTACCTACAAGACACAATAAAAACAAACAGCAGTTAAAGACTCATAATTGGTGCAATTAGCAGTTCATTGTTCTGTGATCTAATAATAGAGCTCCAAAGGGCACAGTTAATAAAGTCACACACAAAATGCACCAGCACCAAGGTAAGGACAGCATGTCTTTGAACATTCAGAAAGTTCACGTTTTCTTTCAAAACTTCATATTCATCTTACGTAGATTATCTCAACAGCAACCTTGCCACTCCCTTCTTCTTTCTCTTCCTATTCTTTCCCCCTTTTGGAGCCAGAACAATTAGCGACAGTCATTCATATAACTCTGCATTCTACCCTTACCGATTTGTGATGAATTTATCCAACTCCTACTGCAAGCCAAATTCAGCCGTAGCTCAAACACACGCAGCTCTGTTTCCTGAACATCACAGAATCACAGAATTTCTAGGTTGGAAGAGACCTCAAGATCATCGAGTCCAACCTCTGACCTAATGCTAACAGTCCCCACTAAACCATATCCCTAAGCTCTACATCTAAACGTCTTTTAAAGACCTCCAGGGATGGCGACTCCACCACCTCCCTGGGCAGCCTGTTCCAGTGCCTAACAACCCTTTCAGTAAAGAAGTTGACATGTATCCTACATGTCCTAAACATGTATCCTACAATCCTGAAACTCGATGGTGCTCTTTCCCTACCTATACATGCCAGGACTGCAGAAGTTCAGGACACAAGAATAACCCAAAACTCAGTAGTAAAGATTGTTTAAATCGGTCTCGTCA